ATGCGATAATGTGAGCGTCACACTCGCCAACTCGACTTACACGTTCACCGTCCGGAGCCGCACCAGCACCGCTGGCTGACCATTGCCACTCTCGCCGCAGGTATGAACTCGATCGTGATTGTGGCCGGCGCCAACATGCTGCTCACTCCGGCTGACGTACAGGCGGCGGACGCGCTGTTCAACTCTGCGCGCGTGCTGCTCTGTCAGCTGGAGGTGCCGCTGGAGACCACGCTGGCGGCTCTGCGCGCCGGCCGTGCACACAATGGTCAGTGGGCTGAGTGGTCCGACCCGGCAGCCACTTTGTCATTCTCCCTTCTGCCTGCTCTGTTCTATTGCGCTTTTCTATTCCGCCTTTCGCCACAGTATTTAGGTACATTCGAGCCCTGTTTCCGATTGTTGTTTTTTCTGTTGGTTGAGACCGCAATTCATCTATTTTCCGTTTTCAGTGACTACCGTTGTGAACGCAGCGCCAGCCATGCCGGTCAAGGATAACGAGCTGTTTGAGCTTTCCGATATCTTCTGCGTCAACGAAACGGAGGTGTGCAAAATACCCTCTCATCACACTTTTGTTTGTTTGTTTGCCCACCTTGTTGTCTTGTCACGACTTGTGTTGTCGTTCTGTCTATCCAGTTTTGGATTGGCATCAAAATGCTCCTCTTATGTTATTTGAGTGTTTTTGGGCGTAATTTTCGGGAACAGTCGGTGGTACCGCCGTTTCTGACGCTGCGAACGGGCCACCTGACGTGGATCGGTATTGATATGTCGATCGGAAGCCTGTGGATCATCCACTGGTCTGTGGGCCATCACTGACGTGTAGACTGGCCACCTGGCGTATGAAGTGTGTACCGTTGTCCGTTACTGACCTGTATACCACCTTCTGACTCGTGAACGCCACTGTCGACAGGCCGAGGTAATGACCGACCTGCCGGTGACCTCTGTCGAGGAGGCAGAGCTCGCCGCCGCCGCGCTGCTGCGACGCGGCTGCCGCGCCGCTATCGTCACCCTGGGTGCGCAGGGCGCCGTGTACGCCGCAACTGGACGGCAGAGCGTGCACGTGGCCGCGCCGCCCGCCCAGGAGGTGGTGGACACGGTGGTAAGTACCAGACCGAGCCGCGCCATGGTGAACGAGCAGACCCCTCTCCCTTCACCCCACACACGCTCACACACTACACTGTGGGCAAATGTCGTGCTCATACACCTCGAGTTGGTGCATTAGTATTCTTAAGCATTGTGAACGGTCCCCTGCGTTGCGGTGTCCCTGATCGGTGCGTTTTTCAGGGCGCCGGAGACGCGTTCCTGGGCGCGCTCGGCTACATGCTGGCCTGTCTGCCGGGTCTGGCAGTCGAGGAGGCGGTGCGGCGCGCCTGTCACATCGCCACAGCCAGCGTGGCTCGGCCCGGCGCTCAGGTCAGCTTCCCTCGGCGGGACCAGCTGCCGGCTGAGCTGTTTCAGCTCTGAGCTGGGGCTGGCGGGTGACCAAGGGCCGCGGGGGCTGTAAGAAACGGCACGTCTGGGGCCCACGGGCAACGTAGATGTAGATCGCATGGGACCAGTGTAGTTTAGGATACGGGGTTACCTATTTGTTATTCATATGCTTACGGGCCGAATGATATTTGGGCACTTCATTTAATCGTGGGGAGCTTCAGTATCGCATTATCGCTGGTCATCAGTTACCAAAAGAGCCAGTAGTAAAGTTTGATATGATTTGAGTATCGAAGTGTTACTGAATGTTGTTATGAACCTGATGTGATGAGCCAGTGAAACTTTGTTCAGTTGATCTGTGATACTCTGGTAGCTTATATCGAATGATGGCGGGCTTCGACCTTTTGAATGTTGTTTTACCATTTGAGTTCGATTTAAAAACTTGCTGGTGCATCCAGATTCTCAGGACCACAACTTACCAAACGCCCAATCCGGTACATGTCTTGTGGAACAACACAAGCTGGCAGTACGGATTCACCCTTCTCTATATACGTTTGAGTCTTTGATAGCTCATGTAATCGCTTGTCATTTAGCGTTCATTCCATGATAGTCGTGCGGGTAGCACTAATTCCACGCTAAACGCTGCCTCCCCCAGAAGCGATGTTGCCTTGTTGATTGACGTTTGATCGAAATGATGGATCAATTGCATGCTCATTGGGAACGGCGCCTAGAGCTTATCAATTTGGGTCGCATCTGTTAGCACCATTCTGCATTTGATATTTTTAGTATATTATGCGCAATATCATGAAATATTAGTGTATCAATAATGAAGGAATTAAATATATGCCACCAAAATATTTTCCGTTTGTTACTAAGCTGCGATGAACTTTGCCGTGCATTTTTAAAGATCCCTGATTCTCGAGCAGACAGCCACTATCGTCGTGTGACGATTCTTTGTAGGCAAGATCCACCAGGTCCCTTCTTTCCTTCCATCCTTATCCCCGTTGTGATTACCCTGTCCCATGTGACGAACACTCACCTTTCAAGACACTGATGGAGGACATACCCGGCAGGGACCACCCTCTGGGGTGACGTTTTCAGTGGCTGGATAGCCTATCCGATCGGGACACTTTAAAACCGTGGGGATGGGCTGAGTGTAACTCTGGACACGGACGGACGTTGAGACATGTAGTTCGTGAGGCAGCTATTCGGCAGCTGTTATTACATAACATCTGAGTCGGTTCAGACCTTTGTATTCGTACATCTGCATGCGCGTAGTACCCTTATTTATAGTTTTGCGTATGCATGTTCGATGTTTGTCTCGTGTTTCTTGCCTCTTTCAGTACGATTGCCGCTTTTTAGCATATATGGGTAACTCCATTGCAATCCGTCATCGCGGTACAAAACGTGACTGAATATTGTCATCACTTGCAGGTTCGATCCGTGGAAGGGCGCTACATAGCTACAATCCAAACAATTACAGCATGGCGTCGAGTGTCCGTTACTTGCATGATTGACTAGTTGCCTTCCGCAGGAAGGGCGGGCTATGGACTACAGCACAGTCGTAGTGGGACGGTCGTATAATGTAAGCACTAGGTACCGTCCCGTAGCACCAACAAGGCATATTCTAGCGTGCCGTGCGACTTGGCTCTCCTTCAGTAGCCTTCACGCTACGGTCTCGGCTGGTTATCGGATTTCGGCGACTCTCAGAGCTCCGGTCTGCTGCGACCGTAGAGACACGATATCCCCGCCTTCCAGCGGCTGCTGACTGCGGCTGCCTATCGGCTCCACCGGCGACTGTCCTGCTCAGCGCTGCACGGCCGGCTCGGCGGCAGGCCGCGGCTGCGTCTGCTCCTCCACCGGGTCGGGCGTCACCTCCTGAAACACGGTGGCCAGCTCCTCGAGCAGCGTCTCGTAGCGGTACGACACCCGGATGTCGGGCAGGTTGGTGCGCGTCACGTCGTTCCCGGCCACACCCTCGCGTGTGTAGTTGGGCCCCAGCCAGTGCTGCTTGGTCTCGTGCGGGAAGCCCGACTGGAGCACCGAGTTGCGGCACAGCTCGGACATGTCGGTCGAGCTCAGCTTCCACACCTGCCGGCCGGAGGGTGATGTCAGAGGAGTCAGAAGATCTGGCGATGTGGTCGAGTGATCCAAAAGCCGGCGTCGTTATCGTGAGCATTCCACATCTCTACGGGCTCGCAAACGTGGCCGTTAACGCCTCTCATTTCAAGCAATGCGTGGGATGCGCGATCCCCTGTGTAAGAATATCACCTACATTCTACACTCTACGTGGTGAATCGCTCGAATGTGGGCGTCAGTGCTCTGACCTGGGCGGCGATGCTGAACTCCTCCATAAGCGGCTCCTTGGTGAAGTGAAACTGCAGCGGGTCGTCGGTGGACAGGCTGACGTTCAGACCTCGCGCCAGGTACTCGGGTAGCGGGTTACGGTGGTAGTTCAGGAACAGAGAGTTGTTGCTGAGCGGCGACATGGCCAGACCGATCTCTGCCAGGTAGTACAGATACTGGAGCACCGGTACCTGAGTGTATACGGACAGCTCAGTACGTGACCGATCATGGGCAGTTCAGTAGTAGACATTGACAGGGCCCGGACTGATCAGCATGTGACCGAAAATGGTTGTATACCAGCGGAAGAAAAAAAGATCAATATAATCCGAAACCAACACCGTGGAGGTATTGCTCACTTTCAGAAACACTTGTCTGGTTTGAGGTTGAGACATAGGCAGCTCAGAGCCCAACGACGCCTATATGACGCTGCTCACCTTGCGGAGCGCCAGGCCGTGGTTGATGGACTCAGCCATCATGAAGGCGCAGACCATGTGGTTGACGGCGCCGGCCTCGCCGCAGTGCGGACGGAACACGAATGTGTTCATGCCGCGCTCCCTGTGGGCAAGATCGGCAAGATATTGAAAACATTCGTGTGGCACGCAGCTATCTCTTGTCGGGAGTACAAGGGCGGATGCACCAGTGCTTAGAATAGCTAAGTCACGCTACTCCACGCAAATACAGCGAATGTTCGTCATCATCTAACCCTGAATCTATCATCCAAGACGCCTTGCTATCGCAGAACTATCAGCGATGCCATCTGCAACATTGATTCACAGAGATTTATGGGTGTGTTGTGAGGATCACTCCGCTCTCGCTCACTCGCGAAGTGCGTTGAGGGCGGTGAGGTTGGCGAACGTGTAGTAGATGTAGTAGGCGTAGGGCGGGTTCTCGGCTTGGGTCCAGTCCTCCGGCAGAGGGGCGTCCCGGTCAAACACAGTCATCTCCGGCTTGCTCTCGTCATCGACCGAGTCGAAACCAGCCACCTGCCAACAGGCGGAAGCTCACGCTTTGACGCAACACGCTAAGATTCGTACAAAATCAACAGCATAGCATGTTGACAAAGATCCGTCCTCAAGAGTCGCCAGCATGTAACATTGGACCGTATACGCACATGCGACAGGAAAAGGTGCAGTTCTGGGTGAGACTTCGGGTTGATGGACACCTCGAAGAGAGGCTTGAATATGTAGCTTATGATCTCGCCGAAGTTTTTCACCAGCTTGTTAGAGCGGTAGATGTCGCTGAAAAATAACAGTTGACGTCAAGCCCTCTCGAAGGTAAGAAGTCCGCAACTTGCGCCATCTCGACGTCCATTCCCCGTCATTGTCCGCCGTAGAGTCTCGGCACGTGGACGAGTTAGCAAACGTTATCGACGATCCAGGTATACGTTGCCTAGTTAGACAGTACAAGTAAACGTTGTGGACGTTGGCCACGCTCCTCACGTTAGTAAACGTTACTCACTAGAGCCTGGGGCACCTAGACAAGTCAGCAGCGTTTCTCACAGTACCGGCGCCTGGACAAGGCAGCGAGCGCTACTCACTAGAGCCTGGGCACCTGGACGAGCCAGCGGACGTTGTCCGAGTAGACGTTGTTGTGGACGGCCCACTTGGCCAGCTTGTCCCATTCGTCTTCCGAGCGGCCGTAGATGGAGAGTCTCAGCTCGGCCGACTGGTACTTGCTCTCCTCCAGGTCCGCGCACACCTCCTGAGGAAGGTCAAACAGTGGTCAGGAAAACATCCGTAGACTGGAAAGCGGACCGTCAACTGGTCATTTATCATATCCTGAGAGAAATTGAGTGAGTTATTTACTGTAAGTCTCTTTCGTGCAGTGTCTCACGTGCATACAATTACACATACCTTGATGATGTCGGCGAAGTACCTGCCGTTAATGTGGTTGTCCGTCTTCAGGAACACCTCTCGAAGTCGACTCTCACCCACCGGGTTGTACTTGGCGTTGAACTTGTCGAACCGGTGAAACGTATTCCGATCCTGTCGTCAAAAGATGCAGCGAAAGTTGCGTCAATGAATATTGAGTTGCGCAGTGCGCTTGTATCAATTTTACAACTCAAGTTTTGGTGCCCTGACCATTGATTTAGGGAAATATTTGTGGTAGTTCGCACCTCGCTTTCAGGAAGACTGAGAAGCTTGAGGACGTTAAAACAGCAAATCCAGTGACCAGTTCCTTACCGCATGGACGTCCAGCATATCGACGTTGAGCTCGTACGGCGTCAGGCCCAGGCTTTCGAACACTTCCTTGAGCGTCATCGCCTTGCCCTTGTTGACGCAGACGATCTCTTCGCTGTTTGTTTTTACCATTTTCTTGATGAAGCGCAGCAGATGTTTTTGGTTCATACAGCTCGACGCATGAATGTGCGTGTCCACCTGATGGACAGAGTCGTTACGGAGCGAGCGAAGCGAGCGTAGTCTTTCCTTAGATTAACGGAAATTTCTGAGTATGAGCGGCCGGCCGGCCGGCCGTGGTCACGCTTTTGCGAGGCTTATATCTCAGCAACCACTTGACCGATTTACACGCGGTAATTTTTGTAGGGTAGCTTCATTCCTTCTACCAAGTATTGGACTATTCCTGATGCATGTGGGTGACCCCTTATGCACGTGCCACGTGCAAAACGAAGAGGTGTCCGTTTTGTAATTGTTGCAATATCTCGGTAACTACTTGGCCGATTGCGCTGAAAGTTGGCATGTAGGTAGGCATCCACTAGGCACTGCATATCCATGTGCCAGAGTTGGGGCGCTGCTGCACGTGCGCACGTGCAGGGGTCGTTTCCAGATCTCGAGAACGGCTCGACCGATTGCGCTCAAATTTGGTACACAGTTAGGGACCGGTTAGTAGGGTGCCGTGCACAAGTCAATTGGGACCCATTTTGCACGTGCGCACGTGCAGGGTGCCGCTTCCAGATCTCGAGAACGGCTGGGCCGATTGTGCCCAAATTTGGCACATCGCTAGAGACCGGTTAGTAGGGTGCCGTGCACAAGTCAGTTGGAGGTACCCCCTCGCAATTTTGCACGTGCAAGGCCCACCCTCTCGCTCGCTCCGTTAGTCGCCCCAAAAGGCGTTATACTGGTTTCAATATTGCATTTTATACTTTATATTTGTAAATGTGTGAAAACCGTGATTACGGTATGCGTCATCTGGAACATCCCGAGGTATCGAATAGCGACGACATTTGATGGTTGGTTTGACTTCGTTAGCAGTGTGCCCGTTTAGTCAAAACTCAGATTGGAAAGGAATGATGGCTATTGTCCAAGACATCTGGAAGCATATAAAACCTTGACCTACATTACCTTGCGGACATTGTAAAAGTCCCTGTGGGGCACCGCCTTCTGCGCGGCCAACTCCCGGAGTTCGTTCAGCAGCACGTGTAGCTGGAACTTGGAGGTGAGATACGACAAGCGCCGGTAGCAGAATGACTTCCTGTGGAAATGGAGCGCCAGCCACCGTCGCGACGTAATGCTTACGGATCATAACGGTACGAACGTTTAGACGTGATAGGTACGTTTGATTTCGCTCAAAGTTGGACCGATTCGCACGATGACATACATACAAACAAGAACCGGGTGATTTAGTTTCTTAATTGGACTATTTTTACATTCCAAACCCGAGTTAACCCTTTATCGGGTTTGAGTCGACGTGAGACGTTAGTTTCCCGTTTGTCTCACGTAAATCGTGGATTGTTTTGTCAGAGCGAACTGTACACGTTAGTGACTTTCATGAGCCTACGGAAGCTCGATGTTATGCCGCTACTCACAGCGGTCCGTCCGCGATGATGGTGCACATAAACCGGAAGTCGTCGAAGAACTTGTCGATGTCCTGGTAGGCGTAGTCTCGCAGCGTCCCGTCGCTATTGTAGACGTGGTAGACCCCGCCGCTCATCCGGCACGTGTACTCGGCGGCGGGCGGGAACTCGACGGCCCACGGGTCGTCGGTGCCCGGCGCGTGCACAGAATGCTCTGCGGCAGCCGACGGGGACGGTACCCGCGGTCACCGGTGACCAGTATCGAACCGGTCACCGGTCACCGAGACTGCACATAGCAGTTACCGGTGATCAATACTACACTTTATACGGTCGTGTGCCTGAAATGATGATATGTGAGGCGAGATAAATATCCTTTCATACGAAATGCATGGTTCCTATCATGCCACTTTTCCATGAGCTGCAATGCAGAGATCACTGGGCTGCTCGGCTTTTGGAATGCTCTACCAACGCTCACCAGCGGCCGGAGCCTGTAGCTACATAGAGCTACATAGAGCTACTGTGGCGGTGGCCCATCTCCCCTCTCCACTTTTGACCACGTCTCTCACCGTGAACGTGCGTCTTCACTCCGTGCTGTTGTGTGGCGGTGGCCGGTACGGTGCGCAGAAATCGGGCCGCCGTGGCCGGGAACGACTGCTGTGACACGGACATATACTGTTCGCGGATGGCCAGTGCCCGCACCAGCATCTGAGAGGCGTTCTGGATGTCCTCAGTCGTTACCTGAAGAACAGCGGGAAACCTGGCTACGTCACAGGGACAACATAAAGCACACAGAACGAGAAGGAACAGTTAATGTCATGCATAAATGTAGGTTCATGAGATGATTTCAACATAACCCCTCGCAAATCAATCGGTAAAGGAAAATCAAGCTATTTAAATCAGTGCCGAAGGGCAACTCGTACCCTCGTACCCACCGGGAAACAAATTGAAATAGTGAGTGAACTGTAAAGAAGGAAACAAGGGAACAAGGACCGGAAAACGGGACGTCTCTACTTAGACTAGAGGACGTCTCCTACTCACCTCGATGGAGTCCTCTCCGGCGATGAGTACCCTCTGGAACTGCGGCACGTAGTCTCCCGGCTCGGTGGCGGCTTCCTCCTCCGCTTCCTGACCGGGCCGGTCGGCCCTCCGACTGGCCAGCTGGTCACTCAGCAGCCTACCGAAACACACGCAAACGTTGGGGATAGATGGGAGGCGGAGGATAAGATGGGATAAGGGGTAAGAGCCGATAGGGACAAAGGAAGTGGTGGCGGGTCGACGTGGGATGGAAGAGGTGACTGGTCGACGAGATAATGGGGGGGGGGGGGAGCAACAGTTGGCTAGGATGAGGACTGATGAGGTAACTCGTCGTTAGGATAGAGGGCCCGAAATAGGCTGATAGGCTTAGGCGAAGGTAGCCGGTCGATGTGATCAAGAAGCTGCAGCGGCTGTCAGCCTCCCCCTCCCACATGGCGGGTCTTCCGCTGTTGGTTACGGAGGGAGCCTGGTAGCACCCTGCCCCAGCCAGTCAAACACTCAGCCTCGTGGTGCACGAAACTATCGAGCTAAAAAAAAAAGAAACTGGCGATGTGAAAGGTGGAGTAGCATGCGCAATGACAGTGATTATAAACGTTTGAAATGCGCTGCTTCATTGTGTTTAAAACGACATAAATCGACTCAAGATTAGGAAACAGAGTTACCGTCCATGCCAACGGGACTGCGGTCAGCCGTCTACCAAACATGATCACATTCCAGAACGATGTTACTGATATTGCAATAATCCACAATCTAGTATCTACTATATGCATTATGCAAGCAAAACTATCAGGGTCGTCTTTACGTCTCACCGACATTGTATTCATTCATTTTAATTGCACCTGTTTTAGGCTGTCATGGCGTTATGCCGCGTAATGAAACCGTTCAAATGTAAATGTTTGGACAATGAAGTCATAACTGTTATGCCCACACACCTATTAATCAATATACGCGGTGCTGAAAAGTGACAGTGTTGTCGCCATGCTACGGTCGAAGCATTTGGTACTGCGATCGAGCCGTATGCACCATGAGCGATTCTCTTCTTAGCCCGCGCGGGGCTGGGGGGTAAATTTTACCCCCCCCCCCTCGCGAATTTTTGCAATATCTCAAAAACGGCGGCGCCAAACTTTCAGTAACTTTTCTTACATCAATTTGACACGTTCCCTGAAAATTTGAGCGAAATCTGTCGGAAAATTTTTGAGAAATTGACGTTTTAGTGACGTCATGTTCGCCATTTTCGCCTCAAAAACGGCAAAATTTCAAACGCCGCTAACATCTTCATTTTTAAGGGAATCAAGACGTAACAAAAAGGTTATACATAATTCTACTTTGTCTATCAAATGGCTATCTCGGTTTTTTGAAAATTTTGGATTTTGGCCCAAATTTTTTTTTTCAAAAAACTGACTTTTTTGGGAAAATAGTTATAAAATCCAAAATTTTGAGTGGATCGAAAAAAACGGAATATATGTCAGAGAAGTGGTCTATGTGCACCTACATACCAATTTTTAGAAGAATCGGTTCAAAAATGTGGGAGTTATTCAAAATTTTATGACGTCACGACACACAAAAATTTTGAAAATGAATTTTTTGGACGTTCTAGACCTCGTACGGAAACAAAAATAACACCATTCGATTCGCCGTGAAAAACTGCATCAGATAGACACCTTTTTAGGCCTTAACAACCAACTTCAAAATTTGACCTCACTTGACCTGACCTTGACCTGACCTCGACCTGAGATTCATCCAGAGGTGGTCCATATCACTTATTAAGTGTGCCTATTGAATTCTATGAGTAAAATGACCCATAAAACATGTGTCGCACATGCCCCTTTCTATATTTTGTTTTTGGTGACCTGACCTGACCTTGACCTTGACCTCTGAATGATATTGTATGTAACGAATATTGTCTTGGTAGCCTAAGAACACGTTTTGGGCAATCAGTCTCAGTCCATGACTCCATTCTTCGGCAACTACGGTGCAAGGCCGATACTGTAGAAACTTGCAATTTGTACCCTTGACCTGACCTTGACCTTGACCTCAAGCTTTAAATTAAGTACATGTTTTTAGTTGTTCGTGATGAGGTCTTTCGATTGGCGTTCGAATTTTCCAAATCGGACCATTAGTTCGGGAGATAACAGGGGGGGGGGTAAATTTACCCCCCCCCCCCAGCCCCGCGCGTACGGCTGGAGACCCCAGCCCCGCGCGGGTTAGCTTTCATTCTATATGTTATTGGCATGGTGAAAAGGATTATCTGTTTACATCTTCACTGCCTGAGTATTGGGTTTACTGCGTCAATCTAGACAATAATTTGTGTAATCATTCTTTTTGTTCCATTAGGTACCTAACCCACGATAAGCATTGAAAATGTTATTTTCAGAAAGCATGCGATGTCATGTAAGGATGTATGCATGCTTGGTCAGCTGCGAAATTTGCGAACTGCTTGGTCAGCTGAGATATGAAAAAATGAAATAAAAAAAAAAAACTATAATAGTCAGTAAACAGTACACCAAGCATAGCCTATACTTACTGCTCGGCCGGCCAGCAGCAAGGTTCTCTGCAAAGGCAATCAATGTCAGTCTCGAGTCTGGCAGAAATGCCGCTATGGCTGACCGTTCGTCACCCAGCCCTCGCATTCAGATCGGCACACCGCATGAGTCCTTCGACGACCGCATGATTGCTACGCAGCTATATGACTGTCGGTCATGTATCGATCAGAAACTCCACGAACACGGAACATGAAATGACAGCATTAACCTGATGACTTGCAATGCAGCTTGCAAGTGACGGGAGCAAGCCTTGGATAGTCTCGCACTTCTGAAGTACCGAAGCTACGTCCCTTAGAAATATTGCAAAGTCATGTCATATCAAACAGAAAAGACCTTTTTTTGAAAGTATCGAGGTGGAAACAGTAAGCGAGCGAAGTTGTCAGTTGACATGTAGTTCGTGCTGTCACATCGACCTCATACCGCAGGATCGAGTGTTACGACATGCTAAATCGTTCAGGGCGGGCCAACTTCCATATTCCACTTCACGTTTTGTCATCTGTGCCTACAGCTTTTTGATGCACTTTTATTCATACTGTGTTAGGGGACCGTCAAAATTGCGGACAGATCGCGGGTCTCACTGTGAGTCCAACGGGTAGGATTGACCGACTGAGTAAAGAAGGGAGACGCGGCCATATGGTCATCTGGCCGAACCTTCCGACGTTGCGGTGGCAGATTCAACCCAAGTTCCGATTGACCTCGCACTGGAAAACCGAACCAAGTGAAACATGCCTCCTATTTAAACAGACCGCATGTGCTTACAATAGGATGCATATTGCATAGCACAAATGCTATTTGTCTATTTATGCATGCATCTGTAATTGTTCGGACCTGGAAGTGGATGCCTCAATATGGGGACGGTAGGATGCTATTGAAATGAATGTCAGGCTCGAGACTGAGCTGAACTGGTAATCGGCACGGGATGACGGTGCCAACCTCCCACGGTCTCTCACCTTTCGCTGAGATGTTTCTGCATGGCCAGCTTGGTCTCGATCTGTTCGATCGGGTAGTAGGGGAGCTCGTACGGGGCCGAGTGCTCGTTGGGAGCCACCGAGCCAGACATGAGCGCCTTCACTACCTGTTTGGATCGTGAGGGGAAAAGGAGAGCCGTAAGAATACGAGTAGATAGACATGGGCACCTTCAACACACGTGGCATGACTAAGTGCCTTCATGAGGTCCACTTGCTCAGGGGAACAATAGGGTAAGAAGGAGAGAGACATCGGCTAGCGGTTACATTGGCTGTAAACGGTCACAAAAAGTGCATGATGCGTATGCCAGGAAAGGCACCGGCAGCCGGAACCGCCCGATGCAGGCGGACTGGTTGGGTCGGGTCGGCGCACTGACCGAGGCGTCTACGGCGGAGCGGGTCACCAGCTCGCTCAGGTCGCCCAGCGGAGAGCCGACCGTGTTTCGGCGGCTCCTCGACGGCCTGGCCATTCCTGCAGGCCGCGGCGACACGGAGCCGCCGCCCGAGGCCACGTTCGGCGAGGTCGGTCGGAACGGCTGCCCGGCCACCCCGGCCCCGTCACCTGCCAGAGCGGCGTCGACGTCAGATGGATGGATCGCGGGTCGTCACAGCACCGGGGACTTGGGTTTAAGATAGGATTCGTCATGGATTATTTTAGAAGCGCAAAGGCGCTATTTAACTTTCAACTTAGTTTTAACAGTTTTAATCATAAAAATAACAGCAACATAGCGATACGGTATAAAATATAATTGCAAAACAAAAAAAAAAACAAAGAAAAACAAGGCAATGTAAGGGAAATGAGCAATTTGTAAAATAGCAGTTCAGCGTTGCATATATTTATGCATATTTTGACAGCTGGAGCCCTGTCTCGGGTCCGTGGCTCGTCTGGAGCCGTCTCACCTGGGCCGGCTCGTGGCGGGATGACGACATGCAGGCCGCGTCGGGACGACATGCGGACCGAGTCGGCTGGGTCGTCCTCCTCCTGAAGGGTGCTGTCGACCACGCTGCTGAAGCGCTGCATGGCTCGTCTCTGCAGCGACACAGAACGTTGCTGGTTTGGTCAACTGCTTGGCTCACCTCACTGATTAGGGACACCTGTGCACCCAAGTGTGCAAAGGGTGACACGATGTCAACACTGCCCTACTGTTTCGAATATACGCGTGCTTAGTCTTCGCTGTCTAGCCGAGCCATCACCGCACTTTGCTGCGCACCTGACCGCCTCGGAGAGCGGCCGAGGGCAACTGGCGCAGCCTGCTTTGTGGTGGCCGGCTGAGCTCCCCTGCGTCAACAGTCGACCGGTCACTGCGCCACTGAAGGCTGGCCCTCAGCCAGCACTTCTCTGGCACCGGCTCCTCGCAGTCTGGTCACACGTCTATTTTAAATCTCAGACGAACTAAAACGCCCTGCTGGTATGTTCGAAAACAAACCGTAATGAAAGCACAAGCGGTACTCACCACGTCGAGATAGAAGAATAGTGAAATAAAGAAGATGATGATAATCCAAGACAGCATATCGAACGTGCTTCCGTCTGTAATCCATGGCATATTGGGTTTTAGCGATGCTAGTCATAGAAATTAAAATCAGATTTTATGTTACGGATATGGATAAAATGAAACAGCCATATTTACTTTACATCAAATTAATTAAATTTTGGCTAAGTGGCATCGAACCTGGCGCTACATTTTCACATGCTCGGGCGCTCGGCTTGGCTGGTTGCTATTTCTATGTAGAGGTCGGCTTAAAATACAAATGACAGGATGAAATGCCGATGATTCACGTGCTTTTTCTATCGTAGACTTGCGCAATTAACTATTGTCCGAATTCGTTACCTTTCTAAATCGATTAGGCTCGCGAACATAAGCCGATAAGCAATAACGCACATATGTATGGAAAATTGACTTTCGATACCTTCTGAACTCTGGTGACCTGCATTTGATATGAATAAAAAATAAATGAAGCAATGCTATCACAATTTCTTTTGATTTATCGGAACGCCGTTTGTCGATTGACGCCATGCGTAACCCAGTCACGAGTTTCTCAAGTACCTAAAGGTTTTGAACCGAACACATCTACCCGAACTTTAATTAATAGCAGTGTTTTCCGCGATAACTAATTTTCGGAGGTCTGCGATAACGATAAAACGATGAGAAAGGTTTGCGATAACGATAAACGATAAAAAATAAAAAATAAACAGCGATAGCGATGAAACGATAACGATAATTGTTTTAACAGCGATAACGAAACGATAAACAATACAACGATAGCAATAATTGTTTTTTAACAGCGATAACAAAAGCGATAAGAAATACAGCTTAGATAAGTGTACTTAAAGTTTATTTGCAGATCTATACACTTAGCGGATGGCAACAGGTTGCGCACACATACCTACTGTCGCGCGGCATACACTGTCGATCGTCTACCATTTGTCCATCATCTCGTTTTAGGTACATTTTATCGTTTATCGTTCATAATTTTTGTAACTTGCGATAAGTGGATGAGCGATAATTTTGAAAAATTTAGCGATAAACGATAACGATAACCTATTAATTTAACAGCGATAATTATCGTTTATCGTTTATCGCTCATGCTATCGCATGGGGAAACCACTGACCCCATGAATGTATTACAGCGTAAAACATATACGACACATATCTGTTTCCGCTGGATTAATCGACAAACTTGAATATGTCACCCACACTGCACAGTTTTATCGGTAGCTATCCCATGCAACGTTTCGTCATTGACGCGTGCAAGGTGCATCGTGCAATCCGTTCACGCCAGGCATTACATACAGGTCAAATGCGCTTTCTACCTTGCTTCCAACTTTTATCGCATCGTTTATTGACGGCTACTATCGACAAAAATCGCTCGGGTTACACTGATTTTGGACAGTGGCGCTCCGGGCCCCTCGGCGGTTGTCTGCGATTCGTGCCGGTAGATGGCGCTGGCCTGGTCCACTCGAGTGGTTCAGTGCGGTCGGGACGCACCTGTGCGCAGTGCCGCGGCGACCGGCGACGTGCGGGTGGTGGCGAGCGAGCGGCGAGCGGCGGACTGAGGCCGGTGGTGTGGTGATCGTGTGAGTGTGCTCCTCTGGTGTTGTTCGACCTCCCCAGCGGTAGCGTGGGTGTGACCCGCAGGTGAGTCTGAGTCCGTGACGGCGTGACATCAGTGGTACCTTTTCAGCTTTACTGCCCGGGCGGTAGGTATAAGCTAACGTGGAGAGGGAGCGGTCATGAGTTATATTTCTTTCCGATTGCGCCACGATAAATGCCGTAAATTTCATCTCACTAGGATTCTGTGAGCAGTCTGAAAAAGGAGCAAGGTATTTGCGTTTTAAACCAGCTCCATCCGGGCGAAACTCCCAACAAAAGGCACGTGGCCTTGTCACTGCCAAGTCGGTTGGAACTAGAGGTGGAAATGACTAACGTTTTCCAAAATCTTGACTAATGACTGACTAATGACTAATGACAATTTTGGTTGACTGACTTTTGACTGACTAAATTTTCGTCTCAAAAAGCTTGACTGACTATTGAATGACTAACGCTACTTTTCTTGATTTTGACTAATATTTGACTAAATTTCGGAATTTGCTAGCTCTGCGTAAATAAAAATTTGCCGATACGCTAAGAAATATAAACGATGACCAACACCATGTTTTATTTTAATGTTCGTTCCATTCAGCATTTCAGAGCATGTGACCTGTGATGTTTGACCACAATGAACGCAATCAGCAATGAACAAAGCAGTGCAATCAGCAGCTGGGGATGTTGGCCACTGGCGGATCCAGGGGGACATTTAGGACCATTGCCCCCCCCCCAAAGCCCGTTTGCCCCCCCCCCCCAAAAAGACCCGAGTTTTAATATTACGCCTATGGCGGCGCATGGAAAGAAAGGGGTCATTTCGACCATTTGCCCCCCCCCCCACAAAAAAAAAACGTCGGGCTGGATCCGCCAATGATGTTGGCCATGGTGGGCACTGGGCCAACGACATTCTATGCCTGGCTGAAACGAAAACTGTTAAAAGTACAGCCTGTGACCGTTTACAAGTTACTCATCAAAGCGCTTCTAGACGTCGGATCGACACCGGAAAAAAAAACACCAATCGATCCCAAAGTTTATCCCTAATCATTTTATGGCCAACGCAATGCGAAGCGGGCGCAAGATATGTCGGCCGTTACGACGCCTGGTTCGGGAGATAACAGGGGGAGGGGTAAAATTTACCCCCCCCCCCAGTCGGGCGCGTTCGGCGGCGACCCCAGTGGAGCGCGGGCTAAGTCACCTCACGAATTACGACAAATTAGTCGACTAATATGCAACAAAATCCTTGACTAATGACTGACTAATGACTAACAAATATTTTGGTTGACTGACTTTTGACTGACTAAAAAAGCGCTTGACTAACGTTAGTCGACTAATTTTTGACTAATGACTAATATTCATTTCCACCTCTAGTTGGAACAGCGTGAGAGTTCCGGACCCGGCTAGAGTTTCATAATCCTCACTATCTACGGGAATAGCAAAAGGGGCCTATAGTTAACTGATCCACTAAATCCGACAGAAGGCCCTCCTGAAAACGATCGATTTAATCGTTTAACCCTAAAACCGATCAATCACATCCTTCCCAAAATGTGGTCAAATTAAAGGTAAAAAGACAATTAAATCTGGTTCGTGGGCCTAAAATGTCCACGTTGCCTCAGATCCCAGACAATCACCCCGCTCATCCTCACTGAAAAAAAATAAGGCAGCAGAGCGCCATTTTAATGTTTTTATTGTATGCAATGAATTGCCGCATACTGGTATACTCGTACCTAAAGCTTTCATAAATTCATTACCGTCACAAAGTACCGTCCAAACTGTTGGGATTAAGTTTTTATGTCGTCGAATTTATCGGCACCGTGTTCTTCTCATCGAGATTCACCGAATCAACTATAATTTGACCTTTAATAAAGGCAACTAAAAAATTGACCAAAGCACGAGGGAGGTCATGACCAGACCGGAAAAGGTCATGTTACGTCCACTATCGCAGTCGATCCGTAGGTATGTGTTTTTACGCTCTATACAATATCTCTATCAAAAGTCATTGTCGTAAAACTGCTAGTTAACTTTCATGACCTAAAATGCCCTCGGAGGTCTATAAGGTTGGGTCATGGGTCCAATTTACCGATTAAATATTCAATACCTATTAACCTCTTAGACGATGTCGACGCGTTTAGAATGGTATTCGTAAAGAGTACCTACGTTTCATTTTATCCCATTTACTTATCATGGAGAGGTTGCAAAATTGACCTAACCTTAGGTCACACATTTTGAAAATACGCGACATATTGGCAAAAGTCAATGATTCAAAATAATTTATATTAGGACCAAAACGCGTTGACTAATTGACTTTTGCCATATATGTAAGTATGAGCTTAAACATGCGTGACATTCGTTTCGTACATTATGCACCCTTATCAATCCCTGGGAATCACAATGAAAATAAGTCCGTCAGCGCAGCTCTGACGAGCATGAAAACTTTAACTTTTGTCACGTGAAATTTTCACGCATGTGCAAAATAAAGAATGATACATCAAAGGTTTGTCATCTACTGGATAGCAATGTAAAAGCAGGCTGCCCATTTTAGTTTAACGCGTTAAAAGGAGATTTATGTTCCTTGCAAGGCGTGAATATCTATGGGCAAATAATGAATGCCCATCGATACGTTCACCATTGACCATAAGTTGTAGGTAGTGCTGGCATTTGTGGCTACCGTTAAGCTGATTACTGAAGAAATACCACAACTACCTACTGAGGTAACTCATTTCTGTATCATAACCGATAAAAGTCCACTCATATTGTCGTTAGAAAAATTGACGCCAAATTAAATGGCGTACAGTATACGGCTGGGCGCTTAGTCGGCAGTGGCGTACAGAACGGACGTCAGACTGCGGGCGGGCAGCGTCAGGCTGACGGAACCGCGAGTCGCGTCCGTGACGACCACCTGCTGCGCCTCCTCGGCCCTGTTGAGCAGCGTCACCACCGTCTGGCCGTCCGCACGCAGACCGACCACGCCCTTCAGACTGTCGGACGGATCCTCCATGGCGACGATGTCCGTACCGTGCGGCAGCAGCACCGAGAAGTGGCCCAGCGCGTAGTACATGGGCTGCTTGAAGAACTGGTCGCCGTGCGCGTCTATGATGATGGGCGAGTCCACATAATTACCGGCCCAGTTGGGTCCGCCCGTCATGTCGAGCGCGATGTTCCAATCGACCCAGCCGGTGACCCAGTTGTTTAGGTCGTCCAGGATGTCGGCGGCGTAGGTATCGGCGCGCGACCAGGCGCCCAGTGCCACCGTCTTCTCAAATATGGAGCCCTCGCAGGCCTCGGTGGCGATCAGCGGAACGTTCGGGTGCAGTTTGTGCGTGTCTGTGAGCAGCGAGGCCGGCGCGTCCCCGTCGCGGTACCAGTGCACGCCGATGGCATCCACGTACTGAGCGGCGTCGGCGTCGTCCAGGATCGTGTTCACCCAGTCCGGCAGCAGGATGCGCTGGTCGTCCAGGATGATGATCTTGGTGTCGGAGAAGTTGGCGTTGCCGCGGATGGTAGGTCCAAGGTTGTCGCGCACCCAGTCGCGCTGCATCTCGGGCGTCCAAGCCATGGTGTTCCAGAAGCCGTACGTGTTCAGTACGTTGGTCGGCTCGTTCTGCGTGGTGATCGCCTGGATCGGGATCCCGTTGGCCACGTACTCCTCCAGGAAGCGGACGATGTAGTCGGCCCGCAGCTGGTAGTACTCAGTCTTGAGGAAGCCTATGCCGATGAAGTCGTTGTTGGTCTTCATCCAGGCCGGCGCCGACCAGGCCGAGCCGAAGAGCTGCAGGTCGGGAGCGAGTTCCCGCGCCGCCAGGATGTGAGGGATCTTCAGGAGGAAGTCCTCTTCGGTAAGGGCGAACTGCTCGAGAGACTCATCGCCCGGGTTGTCGTCGTACGAGTAGGGTCGCTCGGAGAAGTCGGTGCCGGCGATCGGTACCCGACCCAGCTTGTAGCGGATACCCTCCTCGGCGAAATACGCGCGCAGCAGCTGATCCTGCACCTCCGGAGACAGGCTGTTGATGTTGACGCCGGCCGCGTCCGTGAACGCGCCGCCGAACCCGCTGACCTGCTGGCGGGTCTCTGCCTGCGGCACCCGGACACCGGTGACCCATTCCGGCGGGCACGCCTCCGGGCCGAACTGGGCGCTGGTCACGGCGAACCGGTCCCCACCGCGGGACGAGGTGACCACGAGCACATCAGCGCCGGACGGCGGCGTCAGCTCGGGAAACGTGTCGCAGTAGGTGGCGTTACACACGCACACCACGCTGTCCTCGTCAAAGGTGAGCGGCGAGCAGGGCAGCGCGGCGGCGCCGGCACTGAGCGCCAGCAGCGCGGCGGCCCAGAGCAGCAGCGCGCGGGACATGGTCGGAGCGGGGCGCGGGTGTGGCGGCGGCCTGGCCCGGACGCCGCCTTTTGTGACCGGCTCAGGTGGCGCGTTCCCAGGGGCTGGGTGGGCCGGCCCTTATCCCGCGAGTTGCTGGGGGGGGGCGTTAAACGCCCCCTTTTTTCGCCGCGATAGCATAAAAACGGCGCGCCGCAGGCGCGCCAAAATTTGGCTACCTGTACGGCATTGATTGAAGTATATTGTGACAAAGTTAAACAAAAAATCGGTCGGAAAATTTTGAGATATCGAGGTTTTAGTGACGTCATGACTTCTCAGTTTTCGACCAAAAACAGCGTATGTTCAAAAAATCATATAAAATCACAGAATAGACATACTGATACAGACATGTCGTAAACGCCATTAGACTGCCAATACCATGAACAATCAAATGGCTATCTTCGATTTTTGATTATCGTTCTGCATTGTCCAAAATCTTGAACTGAATCTTAGCAATTTCTCGTGACTACTTCACCACCATGATGCATGCATTTCTTAAATTGAACTTTTTGAACCAAATACGTACACATATGATAAAATGAATGTCACCATCGTGATCTACCCCCAAAATTACCCATTAAAATGTGTCACAGGCTGCGAATATCAGTTTTTATTTTCGGGGACCGGATATGTGCCTACCCGGTTGACCTGACCTTGACCCTGACCTGTGCTCGACTGACCCCTACATGGATCTGATACTCTTGTACTCTTGTAGGCCTTATATGAAGGATTGTGTACCGTTTTGACAGAGTTTATGACGAGAGGCGCCCATTGCGAAGTCCTGAAGTCCATGCTACTGAAAGCCCGATTTCAGGTGTTTGACCTGACCTTGACCCGACCTGTGACCTCAAAATTCAATTTTTAAAGTACTCATCTGAAGCGTCTCGTCGCGTTCTTTCGTTTGCCGCCTCGTGCGTTTCGCTGCGCCTATTGGTTCTCGAGTTATCGGCTGGGGGCGTTTAACGCCTTCCCCCCCCCCCCAGCAAACGGCGGGTGGCGAAATACCCAAGCAACTGCCGGGTTATAGGGGCTATCTGCTCGTGCGTCGTCGGCACAGAGCTCCGCCTGCAGATGTTCCCGCCACACGGCGCAGCCTTATGAATGCGCGGTCCGTCTATCGTGGCGCTGGCAGACGGTTTTTTATTATTGGGGACTAAAAGTGAACGTCACCATTGTGCAGCGATCTGACCCATGCCCAACTGACGCAAGTATGACGTGGATGGAGCTGTATCCTGGCTTTTACTCACTTGCAATGTCTCCTGACAAAGAGTTTTCTTTTTTCATTTTTACCGACAAACGGCCTCAAGACATTTGACTAGGATCTGGAAATAGCCGTGATGCATAACTTACACCTATGCTATGCTAACCCAACACATAAAAAGCATGAGTTATGTAACACGACTTATGAGGGAGATAGATAACTGTGTAGGTATCGCTGGTAAAATGACAGCTGCCAGGTCTCACCATTGCAATACAGAACTAAGAATGTAGCGGAATTCTTCCATGTCTTCATGCCGGAAAGACATTACAGTTTTCAGGGACGGGGGAATCGGTCGCTTTACGAAAAGGTTGCGTACCACGAGTAACTCCGACATATCAGCGCTCTTTCCTTCGTAAAATCAAATCAAGTTCCCGTTTCTCCTTTACTCCTTTATCAGTGAAAATCCGCGAGTGGATCCGTCAACTAATTCATCCACTGCAGCTATTGTTCCAACGGACAAAAATAGTGAACTAGATGTTGTTCGCCAGGAGTTTATCCGAGCGTCGGTTATTCCCGCATTACTGTATGCCTGGTCTATTCAAATACATTAGCCAGAGGGGTGTGGTAATAACTGGTGTAAGCAAATTGACCACGGTCAAAAATGCATTACCAGAATGCACTTAAGCCAACATTTTGGGATGTTCTCGTTCCTAAGTCGGCTAAGAGCTTCGGTCCAGAAAATAAATTTATCGTTGGCATCGTTGGCATACAGTAAAATACATACCAAACTCGGCCGGTGATAAATTTTCAAGACCTCAGTCCTTACTGATTTTTGAACTCGGCCTTCGGCCTCGTTCAAAAATCCAGTAAGGACCTCGGTCTTGAAAATTTATTTACACCGGCCTCGTTCAGTATTATATATTACTGTATGCCTGGCCTATTCAAATACATTAGCCAGAGGGGTGTGGTAATAACTGGTGTAAGCAAATTGACCACGGTCAAAAACGAATTACCAAGTCAACATTTTGGGATGGCCTCGTTCAAAAAACGGCTAAGAGCTTCGGTCTACATAGACAATTATTTTATCGTTGGCATACAGTAAAATACATACCAAACTCGGCCGGTGATAAATTTTCAAGACCTCAGTCCTTACTGATTTTTGAACTCGGCCTTCGGCCTCGTTCAAAAATTCAGTAAGGACCTCGGTCTTGAAAATTTATTTACACCGGCCTCGTTCAGTATTATATAATACCGCTGGCCCATTAGCAGCCTGCACTCCGCCGCGGTCACGGAGCATGGCTCTCATTCCAGCTCATCGGTCACTCGGTTTCCGGACGTTGCGAACTACACAAACCAGGTTAGTGTGCGTTTTTATGTTGTATATGAGTAAGGGACTGAGCAACTTCGGTGACATTTTTTGCTGGAGAGCGTAAGAACAAGTACCAGATGGAATTTGCTTTTGGAGGGAGTGAAGGAACGGGCAACAAAGTGTCATTTTTTTAGCCCGGTGCATACACAATACGAGTATATGCTTAGGACCAAAAGTGCTCAACAAAAGTGATCGCTATAGTTAAAGGGACCCTCCCACCTTAACATTAGATTTGAGTTGAGATAGCCAAAATGGGGTCCCTGGCTCACAATTACCGGTTTCGGCACTCACAACATCGAGAAATGCCTTAAATCGGAAATATTGAATTTCAAAATTGCAGCATTTTGATTCAGAGGGGCTAATGCTTAGGAATACCCCTCTGAATGTGTGACGTCAGCGCAGATATCTAACGATTTTTAAATGTTTGACTAAAACGTTTTGTAGCACGCGGTGGTATATGCTATTTGCGCGCAACATCTGCCGCAAACGCCGCACTTCTAAAATAAAGTCGCTAGAAACAGCGGAGATCCCAAAAAAGTAAACAAAAGTAAAAGTCAAATATCTTGAAAACCGGTGAATATTTTTCGGTGAAATTTGGTAGATATTCGTTTTCGCTCTTTCTGAACCGAGCGACATCACTTTCATGCCAATTCATAAACTTTTTTAAAGGTGGGAGCCGGGAGGGTCCCTTTAATAACTACTCTCCTACTGCCACGGTGTTGTACTCACGCCCCATGAGAACGGCCGCACCACCGCGAACAGCTTACTGCCCGGCTTCGGAGGCGGCATCAGAATGGCAGAGGGCTCCTCGTAAAAGGGGATGGTGAAGTCGATGCCCTCCTCGCGGACCTGGCTGATGGCGAAGCCAGCTACGCCCAGATTCACCTCCTGGAAACACACGCCGGATCGGATCAGACTGCGGGCGATTTTTGCCAGATTTACGCCGATCTAGCTCTTGATATATTTTATTAGCATAATAGAAAATTTCATATGTTTCATAATCATATGTACCTATCATAATCATAATACATATGATTTGAGTCAATACGAATTTGCTTCGCATGACACATTTACTGATTACTCTTAGTTCGGGTATCACATTCCATATAGAGACATATCTACTCGTACTCACATTTGAACACATTTATATCCCATGAAATATCGATAAGATTCACTGTTTGCCGAGTTCATTGTTGTTTATTTACCTACCTATCAGCATCGACCTCTAAGACATGAAACAGGCGACACGGAGCTGGATCTAAGGTCTGACGGTATACCGGTGCAAAAAGGGAATCCTAAACAAATAGTCCGCTATAGTTAGGTACACCTGACATCATACATTCCGACTATCACCGCAAAATCTACTGGCACATCCAGTCATGAAAGCTGTTACTACTCGTATATTGACAAAGCCGGCCCTGTGGCTGCCGCGCGCACGGAATGGCGGCAATGTAGGAGCCAGATTTAAAGTATGTACATACAGTCTGTCTTGAAAGTACCGCACCAAGAACATCCATCAAGCCTGAATGAGGAAGGGAAGGGCCTGCTATAATTTGAAAGTCACCGAACCAATTGACCTGGGAATGGACGAGGATGTCAACTGCTTCGGTGACTCAAATTTAGCAAGCCCTTCTCGGTCAGGCTTGATGGATCCACCGTTACTTTGCGCGGTACTTTTAAGACAGACTGCGTCACACCAATGTAAACACCACACAAGAATCAAACACTCCGAACCAAATGAGCATTTTGATTCGAAGTGGTTTAGTTATTTTTAATGTTTCTACTGTCTACCAATTGAACCCGTGAAAGTCTCGCACCTGTGATAAATGGCAGGAGCTGCCTCTTGTGTGCCCTGGGAGCAGCATGGTGTACCAAATTTATCGGTACATCTCATTAACATCCCCCACGCTACCGTTTCATAAGCGTGCTGCGTGGTGATCATAAAGACAATTAATAGAATTGCATGCGTATAAAATAAAAGTAAACATAGCGTTTGTCGATATAAACTCACGGATCTGTTAACCATGCCGACCATGCCATTCCATGTTTTGTTTTCCAGCCGCTTTCCCCAGTTGCCGCCGAACGGTAGCCGCAGCTCCGTCCTGCAAGGGAGTCAGAGGGCAGGATAATAGGTAACACATTGATTTGGTGTCTGTCCAGTCCCCCCCGTCCCTGAACAGCTGTGACTTGTGAGGTTCTATGTAGGCGGTGTCTAAAAACCAAATCACATCACCAAAGCGAGACGGTTCACGTCACCAAAGTGAGACGGTTAAATGCGCCTTTTCATCGTCAGACGTATGCAAAGAATGAAACGTCTAATATTGTTGTAAGCATTGTATGCACAGGTAAAAACTTCACATGAATTACTAACTAGTAACCAGTATCACCATTCCCAGCTTGGAATGGATGCGCTCTTACCTAAAACCGCACTTTTCCTTTTATAGGGCATTCAGCATCTCAAAGCAGAACCCGTGTGCGTCTAGTATTGTCTTCCCGTCTGTGGCCATCTTCAGGATAATAAACGGCGGCCTCTGGAAACAAACAAAATATTTTGTAGAGAAAAGAGCCTGGACGACACTAACTTTATTTATACGAGCAGATATGTTTTTATTTTAGACGGATACATCTGATGCCAGACTGGCATGCCACTGGATCCAGAGAGGATTTTTTGGGGGCATTTGCCTCTCTTAATTAAACAAACGTGCCAGAGAGAGGTCATTTGGGCCCCACTGTGGCAAAGGGAACGGGGCTTATCAACTAAAATTCGGCTACCTGGCCTTCTTGCTTTGGCATGTGTATCGTTTCTTTCCAACCTTGTTGCATTGAGTCCGATGAATATCGGCTTCTTTTCACATGAGTTAGGTTTCGTGCTTTCCTCTGATACGGTTTTCAATTCAACTGAACTTGTTTATTGCTTTGGTGCTGCTGAGTACTGCTTGACGCTTGTTGCGAACTTATCTCTCCCTATGCATCCATCATGGTGTATACAAATGCATATCTGACTATCTCATTGTTTACAGTGCCTGCGGTTTACCTTGTTCTTGGTCTGTGTGCCTTCCATCACGCACATCTCTCGAGAGATGACCGATAGGCGTAATCTGAAGCACCAACCGTGCAGGTGAAATTTGCATTCGTCGAACATTGAAACAACACGTACCTCTATGTGAACTTTATTCGAAAGCTAAGGCATTTAAAAGCACAGTGCGCTAATTAACATAACTAACTGACTAACGCGCTTCCTTTAGACTAGGAAGAAGGCGCGTTAGCTACTCTCCTTCGGCTGCACCCACTAATTGCTCATGACAGCGTCACGTACCACTGCCACCCGCCCCAAACACCGCCCGCTTCCCATCCGGCCTCCGGTGGCTGCGGCTGCCCACGCACCTGCCGGGCCGACGATTACCGAGGGTGAGGTGAGTGGTCCGCCCGAGACGGCCCGGCCCGGCCCGCGGCCACGCCGGACGGAGACGGCGGTCGGTTGATGGCGGGCGCAGGCCATCAGGCGCCACGCACCGACGCCCGCAGACAGAGCGGCGAGACGGGAGCTCGGGAGGCGCTTGAACCGGCGAGACGGGAGCTCGGGAGGCGGCTGACCCGCAGGGACGAGACGAGAGCTCGAGCGACAGTGGCGGACACGACTGGGTGGGAGCTTGGGCGACAGAGGCGGACCCGCCGGGACGGCAGCTCGGGAGACGGTTGACCCGACGGGACGGTGGCGCAGACGAAACGGTCGAGACGGGAGCTCGGGTAACAGGGGTACTGCCGAGAAGGTTGCGTGGGCGAGAGCGTATCGTCTGAAACGGTGACAGGCGACGGTGGACCCACGACACATTAGCGGACCGGGGACGGCGGTGCACTTCGTACATGATTTCAAACCCGAGGGTCTAAAACAGACAGTTTAATACAAGATTTGCTTTTAATTAAAACATGGAAAAAGAAAAAGTCAAGCGGATTGACCAGAAATCTGAGCATCAACTTAACTTAGGCATTTGTTTATGCGCGTATTTTTTTCTAACCTATTGCTTAGCTGCCTAGCTCTTATTCGCTCCGATTTTGTGACGTGTTGCAGTCTGTACCGTTTGAGCAAATAACTTATAGACGACAAATTGTCTGTGCATTTTAATCGTCACAGACCTGAAATAAAATGCATTTGTTTTACAGCTACCGTGATGTTTAAATGGAAAATCACTGCCAGGAAAGCATTAAAACAAGAAAAACAACAAGAGCTTAACAACAAAAACTTCCGAAGCAACGCAAAGAAGAAAGCAGAAAAAGAAGTGGAAAACCACAACAGGTAAACGTACATTTTCACGAAGCAATCTTACCCCTTCCCTAGAAATTTCATGACCCTGACCCAAACGACCCGTACCTAAACTGTGCCCTCTTTGTTGAGGCAATGTCAGCCCAGAGTACCTAGTTTTCCTATCAAAACGGTTATAGGATAATTGAGTCAACTTCGCGCGTAAAATATTTATAACTATTCACCAATTCTAATTGAAATGCATGGGATGGTAAATGTTTGCCTGAAGGACGGAAATCTCGGAATGAATTAATTGTTTTGCACAACGCAAGCAAGTTCGATAGCTAGCCAGTAAGCGTTTTGTCACATTAGGCCCTCCCTTTTCATCGTTTGATTTAATAACGCACGCGCTGTCATTCTGTTACGCCCGGATAAACGCCTGGTGCCGGCAGGCCGGGCGGGCACCGGGGCTGTCAGACGCACCATGGGCCTGATGTATTGGTGTCGTTGTTTTTGTCTCAGGAATGCGGCGCTGAGGGAGGCCGAGGAGCCGCGGCCGCCGGCGCCGGGCAGCGCTCCCCATCGGGCGCCCAGCCACCCGGCGCCGCCGATGGCTGACCAGACGATCCCGCCGCACTCCACCTACCCCACCCCGGCGACCACGGCCTCCACCACCACCACACAGCCGGCTGGCGCGCGCTCCGTGCTGCGGCCGACGCAGCCCCGACCGCCGCCCTACGTGCCGCCGCCCAGCGGCCGCGTGCGCGCCATGACCTCGCAGGCCACGCAGGTGGAGGGCTCCGTGCCGGCCACCAGCCCCCTGGATACGTCTGTGGCTTCCAGCACCGGCGACGGGTCGCGGACAGAGGCCGGATCGTCCAGCTGGATGGAGTGGACCCAGCAGCTGCAGGTAATTGCACAAATACACCGGACTCCTATACAACGATAAAACCTAGCTCCGACCACGGGTCTCTGACCTGTCTCTAGATCGGCGTAGCCTCTCCCCGAGCCATTATGGCACCTTCGTGCGCCCTCCAGTCATAATAAGTATGCTTCTACGTTCTGCATCATACCCTTTCGTCCCAGTTGCATTGTTCATTTCATGGCTGTTTCCGGCGGATTTCGGCCGTTGCACGCTCCCTGACCCGTACACAGCGGCATCAGTCGGTAAACCATGCAAAGCTCGAACTGACGACCCGGCCATCGGTGCCCTCTAAAGCCCGCAAACTGTGTCACCGTCTGCGTCTCTACGAGTACGCAGTCCGCATTACGGAGCGTGCGTGAGGAGTGACACGTTACGTGTCATTTGTAATGCGTTTGCTGTGTTTCCGTTCAGTATTGTCATGTGTGTATTACGTGTATGTCTATTGTCTATAGGTACGTTTGTTCTCACTTTGACAGTTGTGGCTGGTTCAGCTCCCAACACCGGATAGTCGTAACTGGTTCTTATCCCACCACCGTACAGTCGTAGCTTATTCATCTCCTGCACCGGACAGTCGTGCCTGCTTCATCTCCCACAATTGGACAGTTTTCAGGCTCATGCTTCTTGCCCTCTACAGAGCCATCCCACGATTGCTCATAACTCCTCTAACTAGCTTATTGTCCCTTTCTCCAGGCGTATGTGGCCTGGGTCAACTCTCAGCTGCGCAAGAAGGAAGGCTACAAACTGGTGACGGACCTGCGAGCCGACCTGCACTCCGGGGTGGTGCTCGCCGATCTGATCGAGATCGTCTGTGAGTACCGCGCTACTTTCTACCTTCCTATCATCGGTCTCTTTTTGCTTGGATGGCTCAGGATTATCGTTTAGTTATGACTTTTATCATGTCGAGTTTGATCGTTTGGCCAATGCCTTTTCTGTCTTTCTCTATCACTTTCTTTCTCGATGTCTCTCCTTTCTCACCGTCCTCTCTCACTCGCTGCTCTTGTCTTTCTCTCTTTCTCTCTCTATTGCGAACTAGCGGCTCATGACGCGATGAAAGTCTCCCCAGCGAACCTCTGTCGAAAATGTCTCACAGTGCGCGACATTTTCACCGGAGACCGGTCCGTCACGCCGTTAGCCAAGCGGACGTCACCGGCACGAGACAAATCGGATACGGATATAACGCCGTGAAATATCATAGCACTCGGCGGGGACATGATACATCACGAACTTCTCACTTATTATAGATTGGATCTCCCCTCCTGCGCTCCATCTCCTCTCTTTCTTTTTTCTCTCCTCCCCCCTCTCTCTCTCCCTCTCGTTTGAATTTGCTATGATGTTATTTCAAACCCTTGCCTACCCTGTTTTCGTGCCTGCCTACATATTTCAGCTTTTATCGGCGCGTCTGGTCTCATATACCCTGACATCTGTTCGTCTGTCTGTGGGCTCCAGGTGCCCAAATACCTTACACAACACACACCCCGGCGTCTGCTCGGCATTGGCATCTGAACCTCCACACCGGCGTCTGACTTCTGTCTTGTTATTGGCCGGCTGTGTCTGTGGCGGCGATCGCGGCTTGTTCGCTCCCGGCGCGTTTCCCGGCGTCCCACCGACCATCAACCCCGCACCTCCCCATCCCGCCGCCCCCTCCCACCGTGCCGGCCCGCCGACGGAATGCGTTCGGCCGGCGCGGCTATGCGAAGGCCGGCCCGAAAAACGGCTACCAATGGACGATTTGTGACGCTGTGTCCGGCGGGTTTGGCCCACCATGCCACGCTGTCCCGATAAGCCGACCGTTTGCTGGCGGGTGGTATCGATGGCTGCCGTATGGCCGTCAGATATCTCGACAAAAGAGGCGGTATTCGAGATTGGGGGAGTTTGGCTCGGGTCTACCTGTCGGCCCAATCCAGTGGAGGATTCACCTGTCAGTCCTTTATAGATGGGATTCGTGCTGGTCTATTTGAAAGTCCACGTGCTGGCCCATGGGAACGGGAAGTGTCATGCGCTGGTCATTGGTCAATATTGTAGATTTCACCTGTCGCTTCAATGAAAGGGGCACGTGCTAGTCCATTGGAGGGGATAACAACGGACGTGTTGATCTATTGGAGGGATCACCCGGAACTATGCTGTGTTGGATGAGTTACCAATTGATACGGCTCTACTCAGACAGCCCGCTCAGGAGCGCATCACTGTATAGGCACGGTGCCGTGCCTTAATTTCTCAAGTTGCATGGTGTCATTAGTTGTCATTAGTTGGTATCGCCAATTGATGTCAGATGACGCGAGGGAGCTAGACAATATTGATACTTAAAACCGAGTAAAATCAAACCAAAATAATGGATAGAGGGCAAAACGGAGCAAAAAGAAACGTAGTATAGCAGAGATGTCTGGCACCCGGCCTCCTCTGGTCCCGGTTCAGCCACCGGAGCTTCCCGGCTCCCCAGGAACCCAGCTCGATCGACCCCACATGCCCGGTCAGGCACCCGCTGTCAGAAGCCACCGGCCTTGGACGTAGTCGCCTCCCGATCGGCACTGCCCCGGCACAGAAATCGACAGGCGTCCATATTATCGCGGCCTTAATTGCCGCTAAATGTGGGATAGATCGACCATTATCGGCGTTCAGGACGGAGGGCGGGCCGCCCTTGGTTCCCAGAGTGGCGACCTCTGGCCGGTGACCCATGAGTCAGGAGGCGGTGGGGGCGGGGGAGGGGGCGGTGGCTGTGGTGGCCGTTCAATCGCCGTGGGCAGCATCATAAAGGCAGCCGCAGTCGTCTTTGTTGTTCTCGTCCAGGGAATGGGGACAGCACAGGTGCCAGGTCTGTGGGCTGGTCGGACTCGGACCTCATACACACAGTGTGGTCAAAATTTAGCTGGGATTTCCAGTAAGTTGTCTATGCATAACTGAACTGCGATGCATTTGACTAAATAGTAGGTAATCGTTTCTAAAAAAGCAGCATGCAGTACGCATCCATGCTCATCGCCCAACCCTCCAAAACACACGTTTAGCTTGGTATTTGATACTGTGCCTTATTCGGCCATGCTGTACATGCATGCACGGCTGTGCTTCACTTGCTCGAGCCTGACTCAGCCTGACTCACTGCAGTGGGTGACGCGCTGCCCGAGTAGCAGTAGCCAGTGGCCCGAGCCGGACGCCTTCGGTGGCGCGTTGCGCTCGGTCTGCCGTGGTTTTGACGCTGCTGAGTTCGCGGATCCGGGCCGGTCGTGGGGTCCCACGCTTCAGCGCGCGTCCGTGCCGCCAGCTGTGTCGGCGCCATGCTGTGCGCCGGTCGGTCGGGCCCCGGTACCGGGGAGGCTGGCGGTCAAAAGAAATCCGGCAGTGTCTCCGTCTGTCCTTGGGATAGATCGCAGGGCTGATGGGAATGTCGCTAACCTTTCCCCGAGATGCAGGCTCGGCCAGGCCATGATGCTAAATCGTTTTCTGGAGACGGGTCAGTTACGGCTCCAGTCGGTCTGAAAGGGTCGTTTTTGTTGCCACGTTCTATCCTGCGTTTACCTACTGTGAATACCATAGGCACTGGCAGCTTTCGATTACCTAAAGAACACCTGTAAGACGAACTGGCTTTGTCGACGTTGCGTTGGCTCTGCAGTATGCATTGCTCAGGCCGGTTAATAGGTGCCAGGCACGGACAGAAGCTTTTCACGGCTGGGAGAAGTTCCCTGAGGCGCCGGCCACTTGTCTGTGGGACCGGAAACGGTGCCAGCGGCGCGGAAACGGCGTCCGACCGTGGGAGGTGCCGGCGGCGGTCCGGCCCGGCCCGGCGCGGCGGCTGAGTCTCCCCCGCCCGGCCGGCCGCCGCCGCCAGCCACCTGTTGGGACGTTTGGGACGGCGGCGGCGGCGGCGGTGGTGGCGCGGGCCATTGTTTGGCGGCAGTGGCGGCGCAGTGGCCGCCGGCGAGGCGTCTGTGGCGTGACCCGGCCCGGAGCGTCACCGGCGGTCGGTGAGAACCGGCACACGGCACGGGAAGACGGCCGACAGACCAGAGGCACCAGCAGACACCTGTTCGACTTATCGACCACAACACTCGGCCGTCAGACACTGACTTGACTAGACGCAGACATTCATGGTCTGAATCAGCTTGGTATGTTAGGTCATTGACAATTTATATAAATGGACCAAATGTTTATCAGCACCTAAAGGGAACTTATCCTACATTCAAACATAACAAACATTAAGACGACCCACTGCCAAAAACTATTCGAACCAGACCAGGCAAAATTTTGCGTTTGTATAGGTACATACATACAAATGACAGACAAATGCGACATTCTCACAAGACCACTTAACCCGGCACCGCCTAGGCTATTTCCGTACCCACGACAGCCTGGGGGGGGGGGGGGGTCGGATCCGACCCCCCCCCTGTTATCTCGAGAACCAATGGTCGTATCGAGCCCCGCGAGGCGGCGTTCGAAAGGTCTCTACGAGACCTTCCCAAAGCACTCTTAACCCGCGCCCTGATGGGGGGGCCATTTTGGCCCCCCCCTGTGGTTTTTCTTAAATAGCGAGAAAACGGCGGCGCGCAGCGCCGCCAAATTTTGGGTACCTTACCGGGCATCAATTTGACACCTTCACACAAAATTTCAAGTCACAGGTCACCTCAGGTCAGGAGTTATTGAGGTCAAACTGAGGTCATGTTCGAGCAAAAATGAGCAAAAAACATGACATCTTGAAACGCTCACCAATTCTACAGTTAACAAGCAATTTTAAAGTTCTTTATGTGGTTGTGTAGAGAAAAGACGGCGCTACAAAACTGCTATCTCGGATTTTCGAAATTTTGGGATTTTGACCCCCAAAAATCAAAAAAATTGATTTTTTTAGAAAAACTCAAAAAATTTCCAAATTTTTTTCGAATTTCGAAAAAACCGGAATATATGTGATAGTCCCTACGCTCTTCGATATACATACCAAATTTTAGATCGATACCTCTTTTTTTGGCCAAGTTATAGCAAAAAAACTGCTAAAAATTGATGACGTCAAATTTTTGAACTCAATTTTTAGCAATTCTAGACCTCGTAGCGCAAAACGGAGACCACCATTGAACTCCCCGTGACGAGCTGCATCGAATCGATACCCATTTTATGCAAAAATATCAACTTTGAAATTTGACCTAATTTGACCTGACCTTGACCTGACCTTGACCTGACCTTGACCAAAACGTGACCTAAGCTGGCCCTAAAGTCTGTCTGACCCACATAATCGCATTTGTCATGTAAAATGGACCATAAAACATGTATCACACGACACTTTCATATTGTGACCCCCCCAGTGACCTGACCTCTGTGACCTGACCTGGTATCAGTGACCTCAAATAGCAAAATATGTGTTTGAAGAACATTTCCCCATCGATGATTTTCAATGAAATGCATTTTACACGATTTTACTACGCATTTCTTGAAATGCCTGTAAACGGTGAAAATTCGACCTTTGACCTGACCTGTGACGTCATCGGTTTGACCGAGGTCAATGAAATTGGGTCACAAGGTAGTTCCCCGTTGGGGCTATCCAACACCGTTTACCGCTTGTCGCTATGTTGCGTGGTTCTCGAGATCTGAGGGGGGGGGGGCCAAAATGGCCCCCCCCATCAGACCGCGTTGCTCGGCAGACCCCATCTGGGCGCGGGTTAAGATTTTAAGATTGAGGTCAACTTTCGGGTCAAGGTCAGGTCAAAGGTCAAATTCAGGGGTTTTGCATGATTAGGCTTACGAACAGCGGAATCGATAGCTGCTGCTCGAAACTCACCAAAAATGACCTCAAAGGCCTAGTGAAGGTACCATGTGTGTATAGGGGTCATACTAAGTACGGGTCAAGGTCAGGTCAGGTCACGAAAGGTCACGGTTTTCAATTTCTGCTACATGGGTGTGCGACACATGTTTTATGGCTTATTTTTCACGCTGAATCCGATGGTAATGGTTATATGTGACCCCAAGTCACTGTGCTGGTGATAAGTGTGCATTGAAAGCATAAAAAATCGTTTATACTATACGAGGGCTGAGAAAAAAGGTCAATTTTTCAACTTTTTATTTTTGACATAAAAATGCACTTTTCTAGACGAGCTTTGTCCCAGGAATCTAGTGGTGCCATTTGTTTTCACATGCGATGTTCAGAAATACCTCTAATTCACGAAAATGCTTATGACGTCACCATGCCCTATACATGTTGGAGCTATTTTTTTACAATTTGGGGGTCAAAAATCAAGATAAAAAGTTGAAATTTGGGGCATTTAATGTTCTAATAGAGCTCTACAACATACACTCCGGTTTTTTGGAAATTCCCAAAATTTTGGATTTTATTAGCTGTTTTCCAAAAATATAGTTTTTTGAATTTTTAGGGATGAAAAACGCATTTTATGGAAAATCCGAGATAGCCATTTTAAAGAACTCGTTGAGTTGCGTCTTTTCATGTCCTTAATTTGCAATTTGCTTTAAACCCTGATTTTTGGCGATTTTTTAAACATTTACCACTTTTTGACTAAAAACGCCATGTAGTTACATCACTAAAATCGATATATCTAAAAAAATGGAAATTTTTTCTTAAAAATTGCACAGGAGACGTCAAATTGATGGGGGAGAAGGTATGCCAAGTTTCAAGTAGATAGCGAAAGTGGTTCATGAGTTATTGGTCGGATCCGACGCCCCCCCCCCCCCAGGTGGTCGCGGGTTAAAACGTAAGGACAGTCCCTACTCCCTGTCTCAAAACGCGTTGAACGTTTTAATCCCCGGATGCTGTAAACACGGATCGTTCCGTTGCACTTACGATACGCGCCATTCATATTTCAATGGCCTGAGATGAAACCACTCTTCTATAGATATATGCAATATGCATTCATGGAGAGTCGATTCACAAAAGCAACTCGTTTTAGTCACAGTTGAAATCGACGTAATCAGATCACAATAAAATCCGGCACAAATTGATTTTTAAAGTAGTTCATAAGTAACTGTAGGTATTTAATATTTTATAATATAATACTCAATTAAATATCTAAAACTATCAATTATGTACATCTAGCTTCAGTTATTCTGCAGACGGTTCAACGCAATTATCTATATTCATTCGTGTCTTTATATTGGAGTCTTTTACGCTTTGAAAAGGAAATTTACAACTTGTTGGAATGCATGTAAAGCCAGTATAGCGCGAATGACAAAGTTTGACAAAGTCCCGCTTTTCTTGGCAGCTGGTGAGAAGATTGCCGGCGTCTATCGGCTACCGGAGACGGCGCAGATGATGCGAGAAAACGTCGAACGCGTACTTCAGGTGACATCAAACGTCTAAAACGTCTCTACGGTGGATTTTCCCATGGGTAGAGGCTAGAGCTTTTACAAACTTTTAGAATTTTGATTTGTGGAGAAACGTGTCGCTTGGGCTGCATTGGCGCTGCCAGATGTTTGAAGCAACGCTGATTCCCAAATGTGGCTCGATCACTCAATTCATCATAGGATAGGCGAGCACTGATAGACGTTCCCGTTCCAACGTTTATATCTGCATCACTAACCGGTCCACCCTCCCTCAGTTCATGGCAGCCAAGCGGATTCGTATGCACCACGTGAGCAGCAAGGAGGTGATCGAGGGCAATCTGAAGGCGGTGATGCGTCTGATTCTGGCGCTGGCCGCCCACTACAAACCACAGAGCGTGCGCACCTCGCCCTACGACAGTGGCGCCACGGAGCGGACAGGTGAGGTATCAGAGCTTCACCGAACAGGCAGGTAAGGTGGGGAGGTGGCAAGGAGGTGGTTACGGGACTTGCGGGTGAGTGAGATCGCACCTCGCCGTACGACAGTGGCGCCTCCGAGCGGACAGGTAAGGTGAGGGACTCACGACGAGCGACGCCCCGGGAGGGTGAGCCACCGTCTCTGAGGGTGGCAGAGGAGGCTGCTGCTGCCGCTTCCTACACAGGCCGGGAGGGCGACTGATCAGACCGCTCTTGTCCCGGTGAGCGGCTAATTCCACGGTCCGTGAGGGTAATTGGGAGGCAGAGGAGGCTGCTGAGCACGGTGAGTGAGACTGCTTTGGTGGTGGAATGGTCGGCTACCGTCTCACCGGGCGAAGGAAGAGGCTGCTGGATAATGCCAACTAGCGACATTGCCAATGGGACATTGGGCAATTTTATTGAAATGTAAACCCACAGAAAATCAAAAGTTGCTTTTGCCAGCTGATTAAAAATGTAGTTATATTTTATACAAGCATAAATCAGAAAATTGGATTACTAATTACTCGTTTGTGAGCTGTAGCTGTCAAAAGTTGTATATAGGTAAGTTGTATTTTCTTCAACCTCTGTTTACCTGTTTTCCTGCGTTGAAAATGTAAGTTGTGGTTGAATCCAACGCACCGTTGGGCGTTGATTTTTTATTGAAATGGTAACGTTCGGGGGTTTAATTTCCGTTGACCGTCACTTTCTTCGGTAGGACTTGAAATTCACACGATTCAACGAAAGTTTATTGATACCAGTAATGATTCATGCTAATCGCGTATTGCGGTTCAGGCTTTAAAGTCTACGGTCACAGATGATGGAGATTACGGAAAATGACGGATGATGGAGATGTAGTGCGAATATTTAAACTTCCCAGATGTACACACTGCGCAATGTACAGGTCTCGCGGGTTTTAACGGTAGGTGTTGCACCTAGAAAATTTAGTGTACTTCAGACTAACTATCTTCGTTATATCTTCGTCGTCTTAAGCTTTTAAGGGTTGAAGATGCGATCGACTTGTTGGGTAACAAGCCGGCCATGATCGTGTAAAATGGCTTTATTGTAGATCGATTAGTTTCTGAGATATAACCGGAAATATAAAAGTGCAAAACCTACCGCTTAATCTTGCGAGACTACATGCAACTGATGACAGGGTGTGACCGAAACTGCTTTTACAGCCATAGACGGCAATAATATTTGCAAATTTTTGTAAAGGGTGAGTGAGACATGATCGTGGTGTTGAATTCGCAGACTTTGAGCTTCTAATTTCTATCTCTGACATGAAACCAAGTGAAAATAATCACGAGGACGTTTGAAATATAATTTCTAGGACGTAGTTGCACATGTTCTTTTGAAATTGTTCCCCGGAACCTTTTACATTAGCTTGAACATCACTTACCCTGTGGCCGAAAGCACCTTCATTTGTTTGTACTTTGTATGCATACCGTTTGAATTAGATATGCACGCCGTCCTTTTGTGGTGATGAACGAGCGAGCGCAATAGAGTGGGCCCACACGTGCGAAAGCGCGAAGTGATAGACCCAAAGCTGACTGGTGTCGGGCATCCCGTTTTAGCCCTCGCCGGCCGAGGGGGGGGGGGCGGGTGCCGCCCCCCATAGGGTTTTTTTTCACGATAGCTCCGAACACGCTGGCGATAGAGAGCTGAAACTTGGCATACCTGACCTTTGATCCAAGCCGCATCTTTTGACACCAACCGCATTTTTGGGTCAGGTCAGGTCACTGACCTATGACGTCATAAGTGAACCTCTGCACGGTCTTCAGATGTCGCAACTTCGCAACGCCCTCACTGCCAGAGGAGATGTCACAGGGAAATGAAACTTGCAGGATCTAGTATCCATTATGAGTCTCACAACTTGTATATCTCGGATTTTTCCTAAAGGTCATATGAGGTCAGGTCATTTTCGTGACCTCACCATTATAAGTCAATGGGGAAAAATTCAAACTGCTATTCTGGCGCCGGGAACGATCTCCAACTATCTCAAGCACACAGAATCGTGATTTGATGCACTCCTTGCAAGGTTAGATGCGTCACTTTTGCAATGTTGACCTTGCGTGACGTCATTTATGACGTCATCAAGGTCATATTAGTTTTTCGTCAATAACTCTTGATCAAATTGAGCTAGCGAGTCGAGAAAGCCACCAATGGACTCAGTAAGACCTGCCGAATCGAATGATATGCGACATGACCTCTTACGACCAACTTCGTGACCTGGGGGTGCTGACCTGACCTTGACCTGAGGTCAACACCCCAATTTGACCTGACCCGGACAAAAAGTATATCATTCGACGCGCCTGAGCGAGGCGAACACGATGCTGCCAAAATCGCGGCTCTGCGGCCGTTTTTTGCGAAGTTATTCACCAAAAACTGAACCGTACCCTGGGGCACTTGACCTGACCTCAGAGGTCACCGGTTGACCTAGGACCTTAAAATCGGGTACCAATCGCTGCGTCCCGTAACGGCGCACACGCTCGTTTTTCCGCGACGCGCTAGCTCCACCAGGGGCGAAACGGCGAGGGGGGGGGTCGTACCCGCCCCCCCCCCCTCGGCCGGCGCGTATGTAGAAAACCAATAGGTCCGGCGAGGGTTAGTCCCCCAACGACGTAACAAATTTGGCCGCAGTCGGCCCAGTCGTTCTCGAGATGTGGAACCGACCCCTGCACGTGCACACGTGCAGTAGCAGTAGCATCTCAACCGCAACACATGGAAATGTGCCTGGTCCGGTCGGTGCCTACCGACATGCCAAGTTTCAACGTAATACATAGACCCGGATAGATAATTGCTAAATTGTAATGGGGACAAACTTTACACCTCTTCATTTCGCACGTGGCACGTGTACTTGTGGCCACACACATGCATCGAGAGTAGTCTGATACTTGATAAAAGGAGTCCAGTTACCCTATAAGAAGACTCGCAAATCAATTGGCCCAGTGATTTCTGAGATATAAGCCTCTCGAAAGCGTTACAGCGGGTCTGACCGCTCACAATAAAAACTCCGTATTAAAAAAAGATCTTGCATTAATTTATACCTGCTGTTAAAAAGTATGGTGATAAAAATAGTGTCAATGTCATTCTGTATGGATAAAAATTTACGCGTTTTCATCCCCACACACATATCCGGAAGTTTTTCAGACGTCTCACTCCACTGCTTTACCAGTCGGAGTGGGCCTCGCATAGCCGTCTTTTGGTCGCGGCAGTGGACAGAGTAGAGAGACATGGAGAGAGGGGAGGAGTGTCGCACCGTGTGACCGACGTGACGGCGTGGGAGCGAGTGACAGGTGTCCGACTGGGCAGACGCCGACCGGCCACCGCGTCGTTTGGACGCCCGCCGTTCGGCCGCCTGTCTGCCCGCACCGGCAGCTGCCGCGCGCCAGCCGCGTCGGCGCTTCATAGCGGTCACTCGGTGCCGACGTACGACGGTCACTCTAAGTCGGAGATGGTGGCTGCCCGGTACTTTCTGAGATGCAATGATCGCTCAGTGAAAGGGTTTGACGTGCTCAGTAAAGGGGTGTGACGTTCACTCAGAATTGGGATATAACAGTGCCTTTATGCTCGTATAATCACTCGAGTCGATATCTACCGTTCTACGACGATCGCTCGGAAATGGATGGGAACTGGGAAAGTGGGAAGGTCGAAGAATATGATAGCCATAAGACCAGAGTTGTCACTTGTACTTCAGCTCCTCAGCCTGTCCCCCAATGCCCTTTTCACGTCATTCCTTCTCAGAAGCCGTCTTTCGCTACCATCCCATGTCGTTGCTCCGGTTGCCTCGCCACAGTCCGCCCCGCTGCTCTGGCTGCTACCTCTCCCCAGTCGGTTCGGCCGTCCGACCACACCGCCGTCTCTGCTCCGTTACGGTGATTAGTGGCGCCACAAGGCAATCATCTGGCGCTGCGGTCCGTTCCGGGAGTCCGGACCGCGGGGGCTGGTCGATGGTCGACGCCAGTGGGTGCTGAGTGCTGTGGCTGCAGGCAGTGTCGTGTCCGACGGGACGGTGCTGCTGGAAGGGAGATGGTGGCCAGCGAGAGACGACCCCGCCCCGCCAGCGGTCACGTGGTCGGTGAGTAAAGAGCTGACCCGTGATCGAGCTGACCCGTGGTCGACCTGAGTGGCCAGCGTTCCGTACTGGTGATCAGTGGCTCGTGAATACCGAGCTGACCGGTAATCGAGCTGAATAGTGAATAGTGACCGGTGGTAGAGCGAATCCTTACCACTGAGCAGGGGCCAATGAATACCGAGATGGCCTGTGGTCGAGCCGACCCGCATATACCCGTGTCCGGTGGCCGAGAAATTCAGACTGACGATAGTATAGTGGTCTATGGACTGACCTATGACAGAGGCAGAGCTGACTGGCCGAGCTGACGGGTATACCCGTAACCAATGCAATGGCCAGCAGTCAGCAAGTACGGAGTTTACTCGTAGTGAATGTTGAGCTGACGGCTGACCCGTATCCGTGTCCACTGTGCAATGACCAGCGAATACGGAACTGAGTCGTGGTCAGTAGCCGGTTATTTAGTACAGGGCAGTGAATTGTAAGGCACAAGGAAGCATCGGTAGTGTAAGCTTGGGTGTGCAGCGGTAGGGTTTGCCCGTGGTTCGGACGGACCCGGGTTCGATCCCCGGTGCCTCCCGGCCCCTGGACGTGTCCCCCATGAGCGATACAGGCTCCTGCTCACCTGCAGCATCCGTAACCTAGTGAGGAAGGAGAAGGAACGTTCCCAATAATTGGGCAACAATGGCCTGTTGGGGTAGAAGTGAATAGAAAAAGAAATTCCAACATTTTGAGAAACCGGTCGCAGATACGTGAACTGAGAATGTATCCCGTTACCTATAATCCCATATCGTGTTTACACACCATTGGTCATGTTCGTGTTCCCTCCCTAGACGTGGGAGTCCCGAGTCGGGACGCGCACTCGAGCGCCAAGAACGGCGGGACGCTCAGAAGGCCGTGTAGCGGAAATAATTATCAGATTGGATGATTTGAATCACGGAGGTGTCGATGTTTTCCATAATTTGTAGGCAGCGTGACCGCAGACCGATCGACGCGGGGAAAAATACGGACAGCTTAAAGTATGCTTAATGTTTAAATGACAAATAAGAAAGCTATATGTAAGCTAGTAAAAGCTATAATAAGAAAGTTTCACTGTTTTGTTATAGTTCAGACGTGCGTGCGGTAAAAGAGCGTGAAAGTTATGACCGGCGATGCATAAATGACACCTTATCGGCCACATTTAGCGAAACCGTTCATTGATCAGACATTGATTACTCACATTGATTCTCTCCCCAGCGGCGCCGGGCGGTACATCGTGGTCGTCGTCTCAGGAGACCGCCGACCCGCCGGCCGATCAGCAGACGTCCACCCCGGCCGCAACCACCACCACCAACACCACCACCAACACGACCGGCACCAGCAGCAGCACCAGCACGCCCGCCGCTCGGCGGCCAGCGCCGGCCAGCAGCAGCAGTGCCACACCCAACCTGAACGTACCCGGCAACCGCAAGTCGATCGGCCACCTGCTGGAGGGCGGTCTGAGCGTGGCGCCGCTGCGCCGGTTCCCCAGCGTGGCCGGCCACCAGTGGGGCAGCGTGGCGGCCGAGGACGGCGACGAGACCTGCATCGATGGCGACGAGGAGCCGTCGGCGACGTCGGAGCGTCCGGAGCGGCGCGGCCGGCGCCAGTGGGACCTGCCGGGGCCGCCGCTGTACGAGAATCTCCCCCGCAGCAGCAGCTTCGCCAGCCGGCCCAGCGAGCGCACGCCGACCGGCGAGCGCATTTACGACGTGCCGCGCGGCCGGCCGTCCCCGGTCCAGGAGGGTGACGGGCCGGCGTCTCTGACGGTCGAGACGGCCGGCCGACAGCGCCGCACCATTGTAGATGGGTTCAGCAGCCTGCCGCGGCACGGCGTGCGGCCGGCGGCGCTCGACTGCTGGGAGAACACGGCGCACAGCACGGGCACCAGCTCGCCCAATACCAGCGGCGAGTTCAGGTTAGCTCCGGCCCCGCAGGTCGCGGCATTACGTGATAGTTAATTGCCTCGTGCTCCCGATGAAAGCTCTTAGAAATTACGTTTTGCAAAGTTTCTTTCAGTACGACGTGTTTCGCGGTCTTTACAATATTCTCGGAAGCAATGAAGGAGAGCAGTAAAACAGTCCCTTCAGGGCACATGCCAAGAGGCGAATTTATTTTCTGCTTCTCTTATTCATGTTTATGTCTGAATAAAAAAGTCATTAAAGTTTGTTTTTAGGCTGCACCCGTGTCCTGGTTTGCTTATATATTTTTTCGCGTTACAGGTACAACACGACGCACCGTATGAGCGGCCGCCGTCTGCTGCCAAAGACACCGGACAGTCGCGCCGGCGGCGGCGGAGGAGGTGGCAGTGGGACGCGCCAGGCCACCGACGAGCCCGAGCAGCGCAGTCTGGGCAGCCGCGGCGAGGTGGAGGGCTCCTCCAGCCACGGCTCGCCCACCACCTCGATGGCCCGCAGCCGGGAACAGGCGGTGGCCGAGTGGCTGCGGGGGACCCCACAGCGCCGCTCGGAGAACTGGGGCCGCCCGGAGCCGGGCGCGGCGGCCGGCCAGCTATGGCGCCACTCGGCGCTGCGCCGCTCCGTGCAGGCGGACGGCTGGTCGGCCCGGCCGCCGCCCCTGGTCGGGCCGTCCTCCACTGACGAGCCGCCCAGCTACGAGGCGCTGCTGCACGAGCTGAGCCGCGCCCGCCGACAGCTGGTAGCTCTTCAGGAGCTGGTGAGCGTACGTAACCAGCACCGTCTCTCTCTCTCTCTCTCTCTCTCTCTCTCTCTCTCTCTCTCTCTCTCTCTCTCTCTCTCTCTCTCTCTCTCTCTCTCTCTCTCTCTCTCTCTCTCTCTCTTTCTCTCTCTCTCTCTCTCTCTCTCTCTCTCTCTCTCTCTCTCTCTCTCTCTCTCTCTCTCTCTCTCTCTCTCTCTCCTTCCATCCTCTTCCCTACTCACGCATCTACATATACATACTCACGCATGGTGTGAGCCAATCGTTTCAATCAGTCTGCTACACCTGACTCAGTACCGGCAGGTTATCAACTTCAGAGCCGGGACCGTGCCGAGTTGACCTGGGTCCATCGTCTAGCCCGTCCACTTCCGAGCATTACCGTTGGTCGGAAGTTCAAGCGCTACCGTTCATCTGCCAGTACCGGATGTCCGAGCACAAAACGACGAATTGGTGTCCTCGGTGACATGAACTTTGACCGTAAAGAACTTCACGTTCTTGTTTCGCTTTCCAACGAAAATGACTGCTAGTTTTAGGCGTTACTTGCACTACCTACCGCTTGTACAGCCACGTCGCCCTATTGCCAGTTTGAGGAGGGAGATGGGATGGAAACGTCCTGGGCCTGGAAACTTTGTGGTTGGCTGGCATCAACCATTCGTGGGATAATAGTGATTAACGTATAGTTTATGCACACATTAATCATTTATACCCGCGCGGACGCTCAGTCATGCGACGTCCAGGAGCTTTCTCTTCAGTCTTCACGTCACCTGCAATGCAGAACAAAACATCCGCAGAAGATGCGTTCGTGCGCCGATATTACTATACTTAGACTGATGGCGGTGAAACGTCGCTCGAGCTGGCACCGTGAGAACGGGAGCCACTCCCACCAGTGTAAATACTCCCATCGGACCTCACTCGTCCGGCTGGGAACTGCCCGAGGCGCAGCGCCAGCGGCTCGGACGCGACCGTTGCAAAGTAGATCACCCGCTGACGAGTTCCGGTAACATGTTACAGACAGCTCGCTTTATTGTGTCTGGGACGTGTGCCGTCTGAAGTATGTATAACCCAGTCCCATTAGGATGGAGCCGTGGGTAACGCAGGAAGAAGACACAGGTAGGCTGGCGGTAGGCTGGATTCAGAATGGCAATAGCTGATGGAAGTAACAATTTGTAGGGGTTTGTCTTCGGCAGCTACCCCAGGTGACCTCACCGGGGTGTTTCATCCTCACTGGCTGCCAGAGGACCCGACCGGTCGCGGCCGTCTCTGCCCTGGGGCGTTACGCCATTTCGTCGAGTGGTGGGAGCGCCGGTGGGAACCGGCGGCTGCAGCGGCCCACATACGGTGGGAGGCGGCTCGCACCCGCCCGACCGGCGGCAGAAAGTTGCGCCCCACATCGCCACCGCGGCCGTCGGCCGGCCGGCGCACAGTGCGGACCAGTGCAGCGACGGCGGCGGCCGTGGGTGCGATCCACTCCGCCGCACAGTGCTCGGTGTTCACTGCGGTGACTCCAGACTTCTGAGGGTGTTCAGTGCGACGGCATTAGTTCATTCTCAGTGTCCAGTTCCATGACTGGGTCGCTCCGGATGTCCTGCGCTTGGACTTCAGACTTTGCCGGCTTCCGAGTGTCCAGTGCGGCAACTCGAGCTATCTAGTGCTGCGTAGGGTCTAGTGTCGTTTCCACATCCCACACAGACTGCCAGTTGTGTAAATTGAATCAGACCAGTGCGATGGCCACCGCAGACGTCAGCGATGCGCGACTCGTGATGAAGCTCGTCAAAGGGAAGTTCGGCGGCTTCCTACGACTCGGCAATCGACTCAGTCAAAAGAGGAAGCGCGTCAGATTTGACGTGAGCAGTGGGAACTGGGAACCCTCCATGACATTCTCCTTTACGTATAGATCGATCGTCTTGACATGCCAGCCCCAGCTTTATTCGGCTCAAGGCCCTATATACTATTCGGCTACTCTTCCTCTTTTTCCTCTTCCCTTTGCACCACCGGAGCATGCTTACTGGTCTGAGATACTTTTGTTTCGGGCACTGTAGCTGTAAAGTTGCGATTTTTTCTGGTTTGTTTTTACTGTGTTGGTTTGTTATTGCGCTGATTTGAATAGTACGGCCATTTTTACTACTGGTCATCCTGTCGAGCCATTCCGGTTATCGAATGCTGATATGTTTCACTCTATTTGCTGGTATTTTACGAAAGTGACACGGTAACTTCAGTCGTTAAACCGTTTTGTCTGCTCATTAGTTGTCACAGTGTATGTTTCTCAGAGCTTCTGTCCCTCTCGGGTGCTGTTGCCCGGCCTTTTATTAGGAAGCCGCTATCCGTTCCCAGTATGTTTAGTCGATGTTAAGCCACATCTAATTTCCATGTCCGACAGCTGCTGGACGGCCAGCAGGAGGGCTCCGAGGTTCGAGGCACCAACACCGCGGAGGAGTTTGTCTTCCTCAAGTCGCGACTGAGCAGCGCAGCTGACTCTTGCAGCGTGCTCCAGTCCGAGCTGGGCAGGACAAGTCAGGTGGGTGCTTCAGCAATACCTCTCGGGGATCTCAGCCAGTCGATACCGTCCAATGCTTGAAGCAAGCTTTCCTTTTTCTAAGACGGAGCTGAACCTTAACACTCTAAAGCGTAGTTACTGCTTTGGAGTGCTGCTTTGTCTCATCAATATGAAGTTGAACAGTTATGTGACTGACTGTCTGAGACTGATGTCTGTTCGCAGACTGAGCTGGGAGCTCGGCTGTCTGCACAGGAGCGAGAACTGCAGCAGCTGCGTCGCCAGCTGGCAGACAAGGATAAGGCCATCCACCTGCAGCAGAGCCAGTTTGACGAGGCCATCAAGGCGCTGGCCACCTCCCACAGTCGGGTGAGTTCTACCTTCCCCAGTGGGGCCAGCATCCCAATAGACGGATCAGCACCACCCCCATAGTTAGATCAGAACCGTATTATCGGGTTATGTATTGTTAAGTTCCGACCGTTGAAGCGTTTTGTTGCCGACTTAGTTTGAACTCAAAGTCTTGTTAATAAAATGATTTTAATGCACATACACGTATGTCAACAGTCACACGATAGTTTGAGCTCGCTGGGTAAGGTTTGAGTGACCTGACCCCTTACTAAGCTAACGCCACCGATGTTTCTTCAGCCGACAGATGGCAGCAGGGAGGCGCCTCAGTCCCCAGTGGTCAGGACGCGGGGTTCGGGCAGGGAAGAGCTGCACATTCTCAGAGAGGCCATCTCCAGCCTAAGGGCCAGCTTCAGGTAATAAAACCTGCTTACAAACATATTACGGTGACATTGGCGAGATCGTGGTAGAGGCTGATCTCGGTGTACCGGTTCCGTTCTATGTCCTGAGTGGTGACTGAGTAGCTCAGTAGTGAGTACTTACCTGTCTGCCGCCGCAGGGAGTCTGACCCCAGCCACCACACTCTGGACACGCTGGAGCAGTGCCTGGCCGTGGTGCTGGACCGGCTGGCGGCCGCTGAGGCGGGCAGACACGACCAGCAGACGGGCACGCCGGCTCCCAGCCGTCGGGCACCCATCACCAGCATACAGGGACACCACTCCTTCACCAAGGTGGGCTACGTCGCGCTGACAGGCGTTCTTGAAGCCCAGTGTCCAACCCCTGTAGTGTTCGGATTATGGCGATAACTTGAATCATTTATGCTATTATGTTATCATGAGTCATGTTATCTATGCCTACATGTATAGCATTACCGTTACCGAGTACAAAAACTAAAGCCCTTTGGATTAAAAGGAACTTTCTTACTCACTTCATATAGGTATTGATGTGCTGTCGTCTACGGTTTTTGTTGCGTCTCCAGCGATGTTGTTGAATGCGAGCGACACCGGCGTAAGCCGCGGCGGGTGACTTTTCACAAAGGCCGCTGCCTGCGGACGGTAATCGCCAGATCCCCTGGCCTCGACCGCCACATCTCCTCAGACCGACAGTCTGAAGGAGCTGGGACGTGACCAGCATCAACGCTTCTGCCTGAACTACTGGAGAACCTAATTTATGTCCCTATCGCCCCACAGGTCGTTTACTACACGGAAAAGACGTTGACGCCGTTTCTATCGTCGATTCCGAAACAGCTCGGCGAAATCACGCTGCGCGACTTCAAACAGATCTTTGACAGAGCTGGCAACTTTCGGTTCCATTTCAAGAGCATGGATCCCGAGTTTGGCATGGTGAAAGAGGAGGTAAGCACGACGCTAGCTGGTCCAAGGGCACGGATGGTGGTGAAGTCTCTCTTCGCGGTTATCTCTCACACCTCACTTCTACTTGATGATATTAGTCAAATGTCGATGTTTGTTGTTTTTTACGGTTATCATTCGAAAAACAGTTAGAGAAGACTTAGCTTTCGTCTTATCAAACGTATTACAAATAATTTTTAACTTGCGATTTTATGACGGGGATATTTAGGAAAACGTATTTAGCGCAAATGGCTTGCTGGTAAACCATGACACTAATTTATTTTGTCGTTACAGATTTCCAACGACGACGAGATTCTCCCCGGCTTTGACGGCAAGCTGATTTCGTGGGTGGTGGAGGACCACGGAGTGTGATGAAGTGGTCCAGTTGGCCAGCTAGTTTACCGTTATCTCGTAGAACAAGTTGGCTGACCCGTCTTGACTCGCTGAAGTGAAAACCATGCAGAGGCATACATGGTGGATGCTCTGATCACTTTTACAGTGAATTTGGCCTGCATTGTGCACTTACTATGGGTCGCACGTGCAAACGATGTGACAATAAGCCTATAAATGATATTAGATTTGCCCACGTGTAAACGGTACGGTAACAGCAAACGGCAAACGGTACGGTACGCGGCGTCTCATTGCGTTAGCCAGCAACGGGAACATACAGTCGATATGGAGAACGCTTCTCTGGCTAGCACACGCAGCCTGCGGTTCAACTGAACTATACCGTATTGGTTGTGAAGTACATATACCTTACTGATCGAACAAATGCCAAAGATCGATGTACAGGGACCAGATGTAAACATGAACGTCTTGTATAAGGACAGTTTTGTGCTGCTTTACGGCGTTAAGAACTATTGTAAGTCGTACCCAGAATGCGAGGATTTACATCATTATTTTGTTAGCTCTTTTCTACAACATATCGTGCGTTGCTTTGTTGTTTGTTACTGCTTCGAGTTGACCAACAACGTTCATGGACGGTGCAAGAAACGAATAAACAATAATTGTTTGTAAATTTGCCGTTTCTCTTGTAGTAAGACTGGCTAAAATATAGCGAGTCATCGACAGACACAGCAAAACAATGTGAAAAGACGACGAAAACGGAAAACGGATTAACCTTTTAAGCGTTACGTTATAACTTATTAACACTGAACTCTAATATATACTGGAAGGAGCATTGGTGACTTGTTTTTGTCTATCGATTTCCGCCATGTTGTGTATACCAGAAATATAAATTGCATGTACGGTAGCAGAGGTGCAGTTTAGTGAGAGGTACACTACTCAAAAGTGCTGCTGCTTCATGCTTGCAGTTTGATTGCAGTGATCAACTTTTCAAGACTTTGGTATACACAACATGGCGGAAATCGTTAGACATTCTGGCCCATATACGGCCAAGGCGAGTGCCTCCCCCTGCTTATTAATTAATCAGTTATTGTTGAAAGTTGAAACTTTTATCCGATGATTTCGTTGAACGATCGCTAAATTAAACGGCTCCCATCGCTTCTGTGCATCCAAGCGGAGCAAGAGGTTGTTGTTTCTATAGGTGTATAGCTAGGGAATGGCACACCATTGTCCGGCAGTTCACTTTCGTTGAGATGTTCACTAAATCGCTTTGAACGGTAGGCATACAGTGACATAAACTTTTACAGCGGAGTGGGGGAAGGTATGCAAAATGCTTGAGTTTAAATGCATTGTGTGTGAATCTCTGTTCCATTTTCCTTTTGTTGTTTTGTCGTCAGGACGGAAATGATTGAAAAGCGACTGCTATCGGGAATCGTGGACTTCATTTAAATAAATCTGAATCTGAATTAGCACTGGGATAGGTCAATCACCGTCTGTTTTGCGGCGGCCAGCGCCCGGCTCCCGGCGTCAGGTTCCGAGATGCCGGCGCCCGTGTAACCTGATCACCCCGTCTGTTTGGCTAACCAATCGGCTGGCGACTGGCGGGAGCTATATGAACGCCTCGAGTAGTTGTCTGGCTGACAGGCCAATCAGCTGTCGGCCCGCGGCGGTGGCTCTGCTCGCCTCGGGCGCCTTACTCTTCGGCTGACCAATCAACTGACGGCCTGCGCCGCTCCCCCCTCCCGCCCCTGGCCCCCTGCGGACGAGATGGCTGTAGCTCCCACGAGACCGGCCCTGATCAGCCCCATGAACGGCATCTGGAAAATCAGAATTTCTGAAACCATGGCTATGAGACTGAAATCAGTTGAACTTACTTTGCAATTGTTAGAGTCAACCAAAGCTTCAAAGCTGACGTGAAAAAATGTCCTTTTAAATGAAAGATACTGGATGCTGAAGCACGATTCAGCCAACCTTTTTATTCTGACAAATCTTTTACCTTAGACCTAGGTAATGGAAGTCGGAAGGTCCCTCGAATATCCGATCGTATGGACTGCACGTAGTAAGTAACTCATTTTATTAGAGATGTGTACCTAACAGTGCATATGATGATATGACAATACAATGCGTATAGGTAAAACTCTGCATCACAAAATCAAACATAACTTTACCGCAGGAATAGCAACACCGAGGCAAACTATAGTTTATAGGTCAAGTAAACAGTGCAACAAAATATGGAGCGGACCGGCGCGGCCGTAGAGCCGTCCCGTGCATTCGTTCCGTGACCACTGTATGTAGATGTTACTCCGCAGTCCGCGGTCTCCTGCAGTCTTCAGAGCGAGCGGAAGCGAGTGAACGCGTTCAATGTGTTCGCCATCTACGACATATCGGAGAACAGCCGACCGGTGTAGCCGACGTTTGAAGCTCCGGGGGTGACGAAAATCGAGTACATCCTGGGAACATGACATACAGGTCCAGCTCATGATGAATTTTGATCAGCATTTAAATAGTGTATACCTATTTCTTAAGAGATGATCACTCCCTTAGGTACTGCAATGACTTTCTATCCAGACATAGTTAAGTACGCAATGAAGGAGAGAGCAGTTCTGTCCGTCTCCTTTTATTATTTCAGGGCAAGGAGAAAACGAAACCCCATAATTCGAATTGGCACCGTCTTTAATGTTGACTGCTTCACTGCCTTCACTGTCACTGAAGTCATGAAGTCACTTGAGGTCTCATAATCAATAATCATGGCACCAGGTAATGTTAGCAGATTTCGACATGAAAAATGAATAAGATTTATAATTGGCACCTAATATTTATCTGTGATCAGTAAATTAATTTTTCAATAATAATTTTTTAATATTATGATGGTAGAAAATGACCTTATGCTCATGATACAATGAAATGATATTAAAATAAATCCAAAAATATTATGATATATTTCGACTTGCGTCGTCTTCAGAATGTACATTTTCAGAATTGTCGACGAGCAAATTCAAATCCTTTCAAAATAGCGTGCAACATTTTTGTGAGATCTCTGGCTAACAAATTACAGTCAGGTCATACCTATAATAAATTTTAACAGCGTACAATACAATGAATACAATATCACTGAATAATAATTGGATAAATATTGTCAATGCGACACAATACCTAAAAGTAACACAGGCATATGTTGTTTGTGCAGCACGCCAAACTCGCGAAAATGCAAAACCTATGCAGAGTGATTGACATGATAAGATGCATTCATACACTTATAATTACACATGTTTCAGGTGCGTACAACTAATACATACACACAGCAGAGTAAACATGACACCAGTGTAGAGCTCGCTGAGGTGGTGCACGAGTGGGGGGGGGGGGACGCTGTCAACTGCGTCTACCCTACATCAAATAAGTACAAATGGCGATGAAAGACACACCTAACAAGTACAAGTTCTTCAGGTGAGACAAATAAAAAGAATGGATAAGCCAAAATAGAGACATGCTGACAAAAAAGAGGACGGAAGGCCAAGCATAGAACATCGCCTATGTGGGAGTGTAGGGAGGGGGATGGAGAAGGGGCCAGGATGAGGTTTGTGTGTTTAGGCATGGTTTTTGGTTTCTTATTTCAACAGATTCTGCTATTTTGAGATCAGCCACATCTTTACATACTCTCTCTATGCTAATTTTGAATGAGGATGACGATATACTACATGATGGGTGGTTGAGGTTGACATGGTCTCCGAGAAGGGTGTTTTTGGTCTTGTTTTTAGCATCCCGTAGATGCTCATTAAATCTTTCGCGGACTCTCCTTTTTGATTCACCTATGTACACAGCGGGTTTCTCATCACACAGGTTACATGTGATTTTATATACAACATTTTTGGTATGACAGCGGCTACGAAGGCCTGCTTCACAGGTGTGACATCTCTTTGATCCAGCAGGGCACGGAGGACTTTCGAGACCTGACCGTATCATATGCTTGGACACCGTTTTCCCGCTGACCCATGCGACCTGTGCCTTCAGACCAGACGAGCGCACCGCACCGTTCACTCGGCGCGCTAGTGTTTCGTCAATGTACGGGAGCGATATGTAGGTCGTGTCATTTTTGTTGCGTCCAGTGGTGTTGTGTTTGTGACCTTTCTGTGTGTGGTGCATGATCTTGTGCTTAGTTCTCTGTATGAGTTTGTTGGGGTATCCGTTGTGTCTGAAAAGTGTCTCTACGACCTTCATTCCTCGCTCTTTTGCCTGTCTGTCTGAACCTAGCCGTTTAGCCCGCAAGAGTTGTGAGTGGAGTACTGATCGTTTGCATTGCATTGGGTGTGCTGATGTGTAGTGAATGATGATAGGTGCAGCCATAGGTTTGATGTACAACTCTGTGCTGTAGGTGCCGTCTTCTTGTACTGTGATGATGGTGTCTAGGTAGGGTATGCTTCTATTTGGTGTCCTGTCAGTTCTTTCGATAGTGAATTTTAGCGCTGGGTGGAAGTCGTTCATAAACTGGAAATACTCGTCAAGCCTGTCTGCCCCATGGGTCCAAATGCCTAGCACATCATCGATATAACGCATGTAGGTCACTGGCTGGTACTGATAATTTTGAGAAGTCAGGATCAGGGATTCTACAGCATTCATGAACACTATGGCTAGTGGGGGAGCAATCCTAGAGCCCATCGCTACTCCTACTGTCTGTTTGAAGAACTTTTGACCGAACCGAACATAGTTATTGTTAAGACAGTGCTGTAGGAGCGTTTCGATATCTTCAACAGAGAGTCCAAAAGTGTCAATTTTGTCCAGATGCTTTTTGATGAGGTCCAGGGTGGCTGTGACAGCTTCGCTAGTGGGGATGTTGCCGTAAAGGTTCGTCACGTCTACAGAAAATACTATGGCACCCGCTGGGAGTCCGTGGGGAAACTGTGTCCTAAGTCGGTGTAAATAATCGTCTGTGTTAGTCAGGTGCGCTGGCACAAATGCAAGGAGCTGCGTTATGATCCGTTCCAAAAGCCATGCAAGTTTGTCGAGGGGGTCACCACATGCCGAGACAATAGGGCGAAGGGGAGCGTCTGTTTTGTGGGTTTTGGGGAGGCCATACAGTTCAGCCGTACGTGACCCCGCGGGTAGAACACTTTTCACAATTTTTTCGGGCACTTTGTCTGCCAGCGTGGTTTTAATCAATCTTTTTGTCTCTGCCTCAAGTTTAGGGGTGGGATTTGTAGTGACTGCTTCATAATCGTTCGTAATTTTTTCGGCTTTCTGTATGTAATCGCTCTTGGAGAGAATTACAAGCCCCTTGCATTTGTCTGAGCGCTTGACTATAATGTCAGGGTCATTGCCAAGCTCTTTCATTAGTTTTACATCGTTAGGTGTATGGTTGGGTTCCGTTGTCGAACCACAAAAACCACAGATCGACAACGGAACCCAACCATACACCTAACGATGTAAAACTAATGAAAGAGCTTGGCAATGACCCTGACATTATAGTCAAGCGCTCAGACAAATGCAAGGGGCTTGTAATTCTCTCCAAGAGCGATTACATACAGAAAGCCGAAAAAATTACGAACGATTATGAAGCAGTCACTACAAATCCCACCCCTAAACTTGAGGCAGAGACAAAAAGATTGATTAAAACCACGCTGGCAGACAAAGTGCCCGAAAAAATTGTGAAAAGTGTTCTACCCGCGGGGTCACGTACGGCTGAACTGTATGGCCTCCCCAAAACCCACAAAACAGACGCTCCCCTTCGCCCTATTGTCTCGGCATGTGGTGACCCCCTCGACAAACTTGCATGGCTTTTGGAACGGATCATAACGCAGCTCCTTGCATTTGTGCCAGCGCACCTGACTAACACAGACGATTATTTACACCGACTTAGGACACAGTTTCCCCACGGACTCCCAGCGGGTGCCATAGTATTTTCTGTAGACGTGACGAACCTTTACGGCAACATCCCCACTAGCGAAGCTGTCACAGCCACCCTGGACCTCATCAAAAAGCATCTGGACAAAATTGACACTTTTGGACTCTCTGTTGAAGATATCGAAACGCTCCTACAGCACTGTCTTAACAATAACTATGTTCGGTTCGGTCAAAAGTTCTTCAAACAGACAGTAGGAGTAGCGATGGGCTCTAGGATTGCTCCCCCACTAGCCATAGTGTTCATGAATGCTGTAGAATCCCTGATCCTGACTTCTCAAAATTATCAGTACCAGCCAGTGACCTACATGCGTTATATCGATGATGTGCTAGGCATTTGGACCCATGGGGCAGACAGGCTTGACGAGTATTTCCAGTTTATGAACGACTTCCACCCAGCGCTAAAATTCACTATCGAAAGAACTGACAGGACACCAAATAGAAGCATACCCTACCTAGACACCATCATCACAGTACAAGAAGACGGCACCTACAGCACAGAGTTGTACATCAAACCTATGGCTGCACCTATCATCATTCACTACACATCAGCACACCCAATGCAATGCAAACGATCAGTACTCCACTCACAACTCTTGCGGGCTAAACGGCTAGGTTCAGACAGACAGGCAAAAGAGCGAGGAATGAAGGTCGTAGAGACACTTTTCAGACACAACGGATACCCCAACAAACTCATACAGAGAACTAAGCACAAGATCATGCACCACACACAGAAAGGTCACAAACACAACACCACTGGACGCAACAAAAATGACACGACCTACATATCGCTCCCGTACATTGACGAAACACTAGCGCGCCGAGTGAACGGTGCGGTGCGCTCGTCTGGTCTGAAGGCACAGGTCGCATGGGTCAGCGGGAAAACGGTGTCCAAGCATATGATACGGTCAGGTCTCGAAAGTCCTCCGTGCCCTGCTGGATCAAAGAGATGTCACACCTGTGAAGCAGGCCTTCGTAGCCGCTGTCATACCAAAAATGTTGTATATAAAATCACATGTAACCTGTGTGATGAGAAACCCGCTGTGTACATAGGTGAATCAAAAAGGAGAGTCCGCGAAAGATTTAATGAGCATCTACGGGATGCTAAAAACAAGACCAAAAACACCCTTCTCGGAGACCATGTCAACCTCAACCACCCATCATGTAGTATATCGTCATCCTCATTCAAAATTAGCATAGAGAGAGTATGTAAAGATGTGGCTGATCTCAAAATAGCAGAATCTGTTGAAATAAGAAACCAAAAACCATGCCTAAACACACAAACCTCATCCTGGCCCCTTCTCCATCCCCCTCCCTACACTCCCACATAGGCGATGTTCTATGCTTGGCCTTCCGTCCTCTTTTTTGTCAGCATGTCTCTATTTTGGCTTATCCATTCTTTTTATTTGTCTCACCTGAAGAACTTGTACTTGTTAGGTGTGTCTTTCATCGCCATTTGTACTTATTTGATGTAGGGTAGACGCAGTTGACAGCGTCCCCCCCCCCCACTCGTGCACCACCTCAGCGAGCTCTACACTGGTGTCATGTTTACTCTGCT